GTTAAATTTGCTTCTATCCTACCATTAAAAGGTCACTAGCATTTCTTAACTTACCCTATGTGTATAAGAAATGTTTTTATCGCTGCTACGGAAAAAGTTGAATGATTAATACGATGTGTGGAGTGGGTACTCACCATGAAAAAGCTTGGCGCTCACAGTCTTCTTCACGTGTAGCCCGGCGTACAGAGGCAGGGGCACCCGGCCCCCTTTTAGAACCTCACGCTGGTCACTGAGTTTGACGTCATAGTTCTAGAACATTAGGGACATGTTAGTTTAGATCTAGAACATTAGGGACATGTTAGTTTAGATCTAGAACATTAGGGACATGTTAGTTGTCTGTCGAGGCTGCACTCATTTTAAATTAATTTAGAAAAAAAAATCTTTGTTGTAAACTAAACATTGAGTAATGGATAAGACTTAATTTATATTTTCATTAATTAGTTTTCAATAGACACAGCCAAACATGTGACTATCAGGTACAGCAGGGGTCTCCAAATTTTTTGATCCGAGGGCCGCATTAACTATCGAATGTCGGTTCGGGGGCCAGAGTTTCTTCCAGGTATCTCTCCGGTCCCGTCCCCCCGTTCCACCCGAAGAACGTACCTACATTTTCAAATTGTTTTGAATTATCTGTGCAAAGTTCCTCAGCCCCCTTTAACAAAATTTATTTTTCCATAGACATAAAAGATCTCCGCGGGCAGAATGTGAGGACCTCGGGGCCACATCCGGCCCGCGGGCCGTAGTTTGGAGACCCCTGAGGTACAGTACAGAGACTATCAAGAATTAAGTAGATTTTATTATGTACAAATCAGGTGACTATCGATGAACTAGTTAGGTACTATGAATTTCTCGTGAGATGACCCAACAGTTCACTACATGACCCAACAGGTCACTACATGACCCAACAGGTCACTACATGACCCAAAAGGTCACTTACGTGTCAAACAGGTCACTAGATGACCCAACAGGTCACTAGATGACCCAACAGGTCACTACATGACCCAAAAGGTCACTTACGTGTCAAACAGGTCACTAGATGACCCAACAGGTCACTAGATGACCCAACAGGTCACTTTCATGTTTTAACAACGTGGTCCCCACCAAATGACCGAACAGGTCACTAGATGACCCAACAGGCCACAAGATGACCCAACAGGTCACTACATGACCCAACAGGTCACTAGATGACCCAACAGGCCACTAGATGACCCAACAGGTCACTAGATGACCCAACAGGTCACTACATGACCCAACAGGTCACTAGATGACCCAACAGGTCACTAGATGACCCAACAGGTCACTACATGACCCAACAGGTCACTAGATGACCCAACAGGTCACTAGATGACCCAATAGGTCACTAGGTGACCCAACCGGCCACTAGATGACCCAATAGGTCACTACATGACCCAACAGGTCACTTACGTGCTTTAACAACGTGGTCCCCGCCAAATGACCCAACAGGTCACTGGATGACCCAAATGTCACTAGATAACCTAACAAGTCACTTACGTGTTTTAACAACGTGGTTCCCACCAAATGACCGAAGAGGTCAGTGAAAGACACCGGCTCGCCCCTGCTCCGCTTCTCCCAGACGGCCTTGGCGAACTTGACCCCGTGTGTCTTGAGGAGCCAGAGAAAGCTGTGGTCGATGTAGTGCTTGATCTCCTCCCGCTGCTTGCCCGGGGAGATGTTGGGCCACTCAGGGTGGGCGTACAGTTGGGCCAGGTACCTGGGTAAGGTGAGAAGATTTTAACGGGGAGATGTTGGGCCACTCAGGGTGGGCGTACAGCTGGGCCAGGTACCTGAGTAAGGTGAGAAGATTTTAACGGGGAGATGTTGGGCCACTCAGGGTGGGCGTACAGTTGGGCCAGGTACCTGGGTAAGGTGAGAAGATTTTAACGGGGAGATGTTGGGCCACTCAGGGTGGGCGTACAGCTGGGCCAGGTACCTGGGTAAGGTGAGAAGATTTTAACGGGGAGATGTTGGGCCACTCAGGGTGGGCGTACAGCTGGGCCAGGTACCTGGGTAAGGTGAGAAGATTTTAACGGGGAGATGTACCTGAGTAAGGTGAGAAGATTTTAACGGGGAGATGTTGGGCCACTCAGGGTGTGCGTACAGCTGGGCCAGGTACCTGGGTAAGGTGTAAAGATTTTAACGGGGAGATGTACCTGGGTAAGGTGAGAAGATTTTAACGGGGAGATGTTGGGCCACTCAGGGTGTGCGTACAGCTGGGCCAGGTACCTGGGTAAGGTGAGAAGATTTTAACGGGGAGATGTACCTGGGTAAGGTGAGAAGATTTTAACGGGGAGATGTTGGGCCACTCAGGGTGTGCGTACAGCTGGGCCAGGTACCTGGGTAAGGTGTAAAGATTTTAACGGGGAGATGTACCTGGGTAAGGTGAGAAGATTTTAACGGGGAGATGCCTGGCCAGGTACCTGGGTAAGGTGAGAAGATTTTAACGGGGAGATGTACCTGAGTAAGGTGAGAAGATTTTAACGGGGAGATTTTAACGGGGAGATGCCTGGCCAGGTACCTGAGTAAGGTGAGAAGATTTTAACGGGGAGATGTACCTGAGTAAGGTGAGAAGATTTTAAAGGGGAGATGTACCTGAGTAAGGTGTGAAGATTTTAACGGGAGAGGGGGGGGGGGGTGGTGAGATGTCCGGCCAGGTACCTGGGTAAGGTGAGAAGATTTTAACGGGGAGATGCCTGGCCACTCAGGGTGCGCGTACAGCTGAGCCAGGTACCTGGGGGGGGGGGGGTGTAAGGTGAGAAAATTTTAAAGGGGAGATGACCTGTGGGTTTATTTTATGTACCTTAACTTGTTAATGATGCGTCATTGTTGTTTACCTTTTTTATAAGCACATTGCATTGGATCGATTATCACTATAAATTATTAAAGAATTGACTGGTCCACAAATTGACAGGCGCACTTCACATACTGACTGAACTGAACACAGCAATATAAAATATAGACACACAAAAACCCCTTCCCCGTTTACTTTAACTAGACAATGAATATATCCTCTGCATATACTGACTGGAAGAGGTAATATAAATTTCACCCGAACCAACGAATTCGAACAATGTCAAGAAAAACGTACCAAGCAGATCCTGACAAGCCCCCAACAAAAGTCGTCATGTCCAGGATCCCCATCTCTGACAGGGCGGCCATAGCTCCACTGTAGGCCACCATGGCTCGAAACCCTCCCCCTGACCCGATGACCCCTATAACAGGCACCTACATGAGATATATATATATATATATATGTATATATATATATATATATATATATATATATATATATATATATATATATATATATATATATATATATATATATATATATATATATATATATATATATATATATATATATATATATTATATTATATATATATATATATATATATTCATGAATATATGTGTGTAGTATATATACATGAATTATATTCATGGTTCGTGGGTATGTATGTAAGTATGTATAATATATACATGAACGTGTGTAGCAATATCTCTATCAAGCAATGGTGGCGTGTATTGTAAAAGGCCTATGTATGAACGTGTCTAGCAATAATATCTCCGGCAACCAATGATGTTGTCTATTGTAACAGGCCTATGTACGAACCTCATTCGAAAACTTGGGAGCCCCGAAACCAAAGTGTTCCTTCATGGCTTTCTGTACGTGCCTCTTCCTCTCCAGAGTAAACGACTTCTCCTCTCTAGACAGTGCCAGACTGTACCTCAGGTCTGCATCTCGGCTGAAAGCAAGGGACCTGAGTCATTGGTTTATATGCCCCGGGTCAATCATTCAAGGGACCTGAGTCATTGGCTTATATGCCCCGAGTCAATCATACAAAGGACGCGGTTATTCATTTAATGCACACAGTCAATCATTCAAAGGACGCGGTTATTCATTCAATGCGCACAATCATTCAAAGGACGCGGTTATTCATTCAACGCGCACGGACAATCATTCAAAGGACTCGTTTATTTATTCAATGCGCACAATCATTCAAAGGACGCGGTTATTCATTCAATGCGCACAGACAATCATTCAAAGAACGCGGTTATTCATTCAATGCGCACAGACAATCGTTCAAAGGACCCGTTTATTTATTCAATGCGCACAGTCAATCATTCAAAGGGTGCGATTATTCATTCAATGCGCACCGACAATCATTCAAAGGACGCGGTTATTCATTCAATGCGCACGGACAATTATTCAAAGGACGCTGTTATTCATTCAATGCGCACAGTCAATCATTCAAAGGGTGCGATTATTCATTCAATGCGCACAGACAATCATTCCCGCGTAGCTCTGAACAAACTGTGTTAGGGAAACCACAGATCACAGCCATCCACATTCTTATAACAACTAACACGAAACTAATGAAATACCCGTGCAATTTCAATTTAATTCAATAATATAGTAGCTATGGACATACGTTAACTGATAGACCGAAGTCAAATAAAAGAAGAAAAAACTAAACATACTTCATTTCAGCCCGAACTTCTATGTCGATTTCTGAAATCTGAAATGAAAAATGTAATGGTTTACTTTTTAATAGACCCATATCTGAAGCTTATAAGTCTATGGAACTACCTTAGTTATTAACATTGTATTGAGAACTTGTATGAACAGCGTACAAATATATGGAACTACCTAAGTAATTAACATTTTACTGAGAACTTGTATACCAGCGAGTACAGTGGATTTGTTCCGTCAATACAATGCTACATTCTTTAACCTTTGCTGTATCAAAGCGTCAAGCTTCTCCACATTTTGGTTTTACCTTAGTGATCAACAATCAGTGACGCCATTAGATACAAAGCCCCCCTTTTGTGTGATATTTCCTCAACTCTAAACCGAATACTGTAACCATTTTAAAATTTCCTCTTAAATATTTAGTAACTAGGTGCAAAGCCTGACAGAATGTTGCCATAAGAAAGAAAAAAAAACACAAATTAATTCTGAAAAATCATTGTATGATTTGTCCCCCCCCCCTCCAATCTGTACCTCCGCTTGGCTTGTTTGTGTATGTTATTTCTTTGATTGTTCCTTTTTTGCCAGTTACATACAAACAATTATTATTTAGTATATCCACGTTGACAGTCAATCCACCATTCCTACACCTCTAACTTTAATACAAAGTCTGTAATCTTACGAGCAAAAGTAATCCTCAAATCTATCTATAGCCTGGGTATAATGGATGGTAAAAACGGCCTTGTTACCTTGTAAAATGTGATGGTTTCCTTGAGTGTTGTCCCCATGGGGAGGGGCACCTATCTATAGCCTGGGTGTAATGGAGGGTAAAAACGGCCTTGTTACCTTGATAAATGTGGTGGTTTCCTTGAGTGTTCTACCCATGGGGAGGGGCACCTATCTATAGCCTGGGTGTAATGGGGGGGGGGGGGGTAAAAACGGCCTTGTTACCTTGTTTAATGTGATGGTTTCCTTGAGTGTTCTACCCATGGGGAGGGGCACCTATCTATAGCCTGGGTGTAATGGAGGGTTAAAACGGCCTTGTTACCTGGTTAAATGTGATGGTTTCCTTGAGTGTTGTGCCCATGGGGAGGGGCACCTATCTATAGCCTGGGTGTAATGGGGGGGGGGGGGGTAAAAACGGCCTTGTTACCTTGTTAAATGTGATGGTTTCCTTGAGTGTTGTGCCCATGGGGAGGGGCGAGAGTGGCAGTTGTTCAGTGGCCAGGTGCTCGTCAATCGTGTAGTTGCCGTCCATGAGGGACAACTCTGTGAGAACATGGCAGTCACGTGATAGTTTTGTTTCCATGTTTTTAAAAGTCGGGTGTTGATTTGTTACAAAACACTCACATAATTACACGAAGATTTAGAGTGGGAACAGTTAACGGGGAAAAACTGGTGTGGCCGGTGTGGTCTGGTCGGTAAAGCTCATGGTTGCTAAACCAAAAAAGTCCCGAGTTCGACTCCCAGGGGGTGTTGAAGCTCGATAAAAAAACTCCAAAATAAGCAACTGCTGTCTTGTAGTCTGGTTAGACCAAGGATGTCGGAGTCTAAATCTCAGTTGAACGTGTATAATCAGAGACGAAAGGTTGTCAGGTCATTCTTTCATATAATTTCTTTGTGCTATATACGCCTAATGTTCAAACGTGTTTTTTTTCCGGGTTTTATGCTCTCAAACTTCCGAGGGGAGAGGAAGATAATTTGAAACTTCCGGGGGTCGGGCGGAAACTGGTTTAATTTTAGTTTAAAATCTGTGCCGGAAGCAGATCTAAAATTAGCGACATGCTCTAATTAGCATAAAATTTAGTCCAAATTTAAAAACAACGGTATACCTTAAATTAAGTTTCAGTATGTTGACAGAAAAGCAGCGCAAATACTTTTTTACACGCTTGGAACATAATTCGGGCATTAAGGGGTTAAGTTCACAGTCGTTAAGGGCTTGTCCTGACCCCAATATTTGAACTTACTCAGCACGTGGTTCTGTTCAGGGTCAAGCCAGAAGGTGAACTCTTCGTTCCATTCAGGGTTGACGTCATTGTCCTTGACCGTCGTCTTCCGCCACGCGCATGGTGAGTTGTCCAGTTTGAGAATGACGTAGGGGTCAGGTGTATCCACTACCCGAGAAAAATCAACATGTCACAAACGCACTAGTGTAAATATAGAGGCAAAACTTTAAAACATTCTAGAGTCATTCATTTTAAATCAATGTTCAAAAACTCAATTAACTTGGTAATTAATAATTGATAACAATTTTTCATCATAGCAATTTTTAGAAATTTTTTTCAGTAAAATATATTTTAGAAAGGACTAGTGAAATGACCTAGTTAGATGAAGGGATAACATTCCATTAGACCCCATAGACACGATAACATTCCATTAAGAAACATCCACACAATAACATTCCATTACACCCAATCGACACGATAACATTTCATTAGACCCCATCAACATGACGACATTCAATTAGTCCCAATCAACACGATAACATTAGACGCCATGGATAGACAGTGAGAGATAACTTACATAAGTCTTGTAGCATTCCTTTTGTAATGTTTCTGCCTCTCAACACTCGAACTTTGACAACAGCACAGTGTCTGTGTGTCACCTGACGATTTTAAAAATAAAACAAAATATAAAAAACGTAGTAACAAGCTTTTAAATGCACTGAAAATTAGAAAATGAAGCTAATCTACTTTCTTTTATAAAAGCTTTTATCGCTAATAAATGTATAAGATCTTACGAGCGATCAAAGCTTTTATCAAATTAGTTTTATATTTTCTTATTTTCAGTGCATGTAAAGCTTGTTGCTACAAAGGCTTTTAAATAAGTATTTTATTTACTTCTTTTTAGTGATTTTCTATTTTATGAAGTAGACATGACTAAACATATTTGCTTCAAAACACCATCAGTTTATCTGCCCCGTGAAACCAGACGTTGCAAACTAAATAAAAGCTTTTAATAACAGCATTACATAGTTCACATGACACTACATATATGTATTGTTTATTTATTTGATTGTATGTAGGCTATTTATATATATATAGTCCTTCAAATTTTATCTGTGATATTGTGACAATAAAACCTTTGTCACACAAGTTCCCCCTGAGATATGTAACCAGGTCACCTATAAAACATCTTAGACTTACCTCAAACACCTGAAACGGGTCAAACCTAAAAAAAACGAAAAATTGATAAAAAATTAATTGAAGTGGGACTATTTACAAAAACACCTTCAAAAAGTCGTTTCTTGGCGTTTTATTTTTTCTTCTACGTCAACTACATTTAGTGAATACTCAAAATTTAAAAAGTCATATACCAACCCTATAAACACATGATATAAATACATTTTTAACAAAAATAAATAAAAACTTACATAAATTCTCCTGCCATACTGTACAACTAAAAAAAATAACATCAATAACTCCAGAAACTGAAAAACACAAATCAGCCGTCTTTTGTTTCAACTCTCCTTGAGTGGGTTTTTAAAAATAAAACTTCTTGAAACCATGTTTGAATTACTCTTACACACACTGCAGCGTTTGAATGGCTTGCTCATGCTATCTCTTCAATCGTGTCCGCACTTCCTCCTTCGATTATCTCCAGCGCACAGCTTCTTAACATGCCCTGTGCAGCTAAACAATCAGTTCCCTCCCCTCCATCACACCATTCACATGAACGTATGTCGTGTCTCGATAACTGGACACAACTCTTGCCGATTGTAAAACCCAATATTGTATTTATAAAGATATAAAATATATACTTTAACCGCTGTCCGCTTATCCCCCCCCCCCCCGGAGGTTTCAAGTGCTCCCCCCCCCCTACCCTTCCCCTGGTCTGAAAGAAAATCTGGACAATATACAGTTTGTGGTAAGTCATACAACGACTGATAATTACACAAAACTAAAATATTGAGCTAAAAAAATTGAAATGATATTTTTTATATGTCGATCTTATGATCTTATGATCTGAGTTTTATTGACGCGCTGTTCTTCTTTAGCGTCCGATTACTTAGACGTCCCTTCACATTCTTCATTACAGGCCGAAGAGATAGTAAGAAACTCATACCGTTTGAAAATCATACTTCATACATTACACAGAAAATATGTGTCACCATTTTTGCTTCTAAGTTATGATTTAAATTATTGACAAATAAATGCATTTTATTTTTCAATTCTTTTTAAATTTTTGAAAATAATAGCCCACTGCAAATTTTGAACCTAATAGATAATTGAATTATTAATGTTGTATATTTTAAAACCTATATAATAGCAATATTTTAATAACTAAATACATAATAAAAAAAATGCTATGGTTAGTAAAAGTGTTGGTCATTCATAAAATACCGGACACTAATTAGCGACAAAAAATATATACATTGTGTTTAATTTTCTTATTATAGTACAGTTAAAAGCTTGTTATTGTGTTTGTTTATATTTGTTTTATATCTCTACATTTTGGTGATATAAGGAATTGTAAAATTTAAATTAGTAGGCCGTGCCATATTCCAATTTCGTTCGTTCTTAATGTAGCCAAACCTCACATGACAAAATAATATCAGCAGTTTGCACACTGAAACACTCAACGATAATTATCTGACCATGTCAACGTCAATCACTCAACTGCTAACCCGTAAGTCTCGAGTTCGAATCTCGGACTAGAGTCAGTGAGTTCACCCAGCTCTAATGTATAGGCCTACATGGAACGAAAACAGGTGACCTCACTCTATTCCAAAAAATGCCGAGGTGACAGAAACAGGCGAACTCTACTTCACATGCCCCATGAGTCGCCAAGTCTGGAAGTGTAGGTTTACTCATCACAAGCTTAATTCTTCTCTCATGTGTGACAACTGGTATGAACACAACTCACCCAAACACCTGGCTAATCGAACCATTGTTATTTTTCAATCCTACTCTCTCCCGTTTGTTATGTAATGTAGAAATCATAAAGTAAATTGTAATGACTTGTTAAATATCTAATAATGAAAATTAGAAATCCTTGCATTGTCATTGAAAACTAACATTTCTGCAAAAAGTTTTTTTTTTAAATCTTGTCCTTAGAAGTGGGTTAAAATTGAGTTCCAAGATTTGACAGACAAACATTGTAAACGAAGTTACAGTTAGAAAAAAATCTGTTCTACACTATTTTAAAGTTTGTAACAACACACACAGAGAAACAAACAAGTCATTGAAGTAATACTTGTTTTGTATTGATTACTTAATCAAACACATCATTTATTTACATGTATTGTTTACATCAATATATGTACAAGTCTTATGAGCAATTTTCCATTATTAATACCTTTTTTTAAATATATCTGTATACACCTCTTTTTGTAGGTAATTATTTTTACATTTGATTATTGGTTGTGTTCGCCTGTTTTTGTGGTGACTAATACAGATTTGTTTTATAACGACGGAACTTTGTTGTCTTCATTACTTTCCTGTGGTGTACGATTTTGACTTCTTATGTATCCTGAAATAATAAATTATGTATTGTTGAAAATATTTTATTTTCTTACATATTTGTCCGTTTACACACATACGTTACGGGTAGTTGTGGGTTAGATTAGAATAGGTTAGAATAGTCTAGAATGTAGGGGAGAGGTCTGTGTGAGTTGAGTTAGCCCCGGGTGTTTAGGTATTGTTACTCCAAGTTCGAGTGCAGGTATAAACGCTGGATTGAAGGATTGTAAGGGGTTGGTTGGTAGTGGCTAGGGTCGGGTATTTGTGGTGGAATGGTAAAGATGAGGTTAAATACAGAGTTTTTTGCAGGCATCTCTCCGGAAATGGAATTTATATAGAAAACATATACTTTTACAAGTGTCCGCCCGCCCCTTAAAATGTGGTCCGCTCACCCCCCCCCCCGAAATTATCAAGTGCCCCCCCCCCCCCTCCCGGAGAAAAAAGTCTGGAAGAAACACTGGTTAAATAAAGGTTTGAACAGTGCCGTGATCTGTGTTTAAACTTAAAAGAAAGTTCGGTTGTATCAACAGCAACAACACACACACATCCACACACACACACTAACACACACACACACACACACACGTTGCACAAAATGACTTACTCTCAAATCTGAACGAAGGGAAGATTATCCAGGCTGGTTGAGATTCGAACCCGTGTCTCGCTCCCCGTGAACCAAACCAGCTCCGTGACCCGGATGTTGACCCCTGACCCCACAGCCCATATCGTGACGTTGTCGGCTCTCAACAACTCCGCCGACTGCAACAACAACAACAACAACAACAACACACACATGTTAAGAAATCAATACATACAGATTTCCTAGCTATTCAAAACTCTAAGAAATCAATAAATAAAAGTGTCCTAACCATTCGAAAGTATCGCAATCCATGACTAAAAACAATTAAATAAAAATGTTCAATTAAATTGAAGGTTTGTGTTATACATGATTACGTTGTCCATTTTTTTAATTGGTTAAAATATATGAAACGATTTGGAAAATCATACAACAGACATCATCTGCATATCAACTTTCCTTTAAAAATATTAGCACAATAATTATTTATTTGCAAAAAAAAAAAAAAAAAAAAAAAAAGAAAAAAGAAAAATTAATCTTGGTAGGCCTACATTTGCAACCTAAATTTCAACAACATTCAATGCATGTTACTTTACCAAATAAAGGCGCTTTAAATTTTTATTCTGAGTTTATCCAAAGATGGAAATGCTACATTTAACTTTAAATGTTTAACAATTTTAGTTTATCAAATTGTTATAATGCATATTAAGATATTTTTTGGCAAACGTTGAAGACAAAGCAAGCATATACTGGCACAGAGGCGTGGCGAGGGTGGGGGCACCGACCCTTGGGGGCGCCAAAATGGGTTGGAAAAAAGCTCATTTTAGCTGCAGTGTTGCATTATAAATATAAAACATGTGGGGGTGGGGGGGGGGGCGAATTGAAAGTTTGTCCCCGGGCGCTGGGAAGGGTCGCTACGCCTCTGTACTGGCATCTATATAAGTGTATTGCGTTACTCCCCTAGAGAGAAGTTTTAACAGTGCCCCAAAGAGCGTCATTCTTTTTGAGAATGAAATAAGATTCTTCATAGTCTGGAGGTTACTGACCTTTCTGCTCTCGTACGGAAGTCTAGACACCCCGTCTGTGATCACTAAGACAGTCTGCTGCTTGCCTGGAACTCTGGAAGCCTGGAGATGAGAGGATGTCTGGTCAAGGTGGCGCCAGGTACGACAGATTTCAATAAAATACAAACACAAATATCGTGTGTCAGTATTTAAATAGGGGTTGGGGGAGGGGGGGGGGGAGGGTAGGAGAACTTCGTGGCCGAGTTGAGTAGAGCTCGAACATCTGACATTTTGTTACTGAGTTTACCCAACTCTAATGATTACTTGACTTAGGGGTAAAAAGACGATGATTACATAATCGCTTCGTGTGCTGCGATCCCTCTATTTTTCTTCATATAGTCATATGTTTTGCTTACACTTACTCTATTCACAAGTAATCCATCACAATCAAACAATCATTACAATTACAATCACACGCTACAGTTAAACAATCATTACAGAAATACATAACAATCAAACAAACATTACAAACATACACACTAATCATTACAGCCATGTAACACAATCGTACAATCATTAAAGATATATGCCACAATCATACAATCCTAACAGCCATACACCACGATCATACAATCACAACGGATATACATCAAACGCATACAATCATTAGAGACATTCATCACAATAATACAATCATTACAGTCATCCACACAATCATACAATCAGTACACTCATACACCACAATCATACAATCCCTACCACCAACCGTAGACTCACCTGTAGCATGGAGCGCGCCATGTCGAACGCCAAGTGTGTGTTGGTGCCTCTCCCCCCGTAGCTGGCGACCGGCACCCGCTCCCTCAGTGACGTCACGTTACGTGTCAGGTTAATCCCCTCAGGTGTGTTGGAAAATGTGATGACCCCCACGTCCAGCTGGTGAGTACGTCACGCGTGAGTTACCACAACAGGTATATAGGGCTGGTAAGTAGGTCACCAACCAGTTCTACGGCTCAATAAAACCTGCATGAGTTGTAGAACTGTTTATTGACCTACTTACCAGCCCTATAGGTCTATGTCATGTCTGTCTATATTGGGTTTCCCATGTGGCTGGGGGAAGGGGACTATTATAGTAATAGACGTCAATGATGAATAGCTTCTGAGTAATATTTGTGAATCATTTCAATTGAGAAAAATGAAGGCTCTATATGAATGTAAAAGCAGAGGTACATCTATAGAGTAGTTTAAACACATTTCATCAGTGGCGTAGGGAGGTCGAGTGTCACCCGGTGCGGCACTTAATGGGGTCACCCCCCCCCCCCCCCCAGAGGCGTAGCGACCCTTCCCGGGGACAAACTTTCAATTTTCGATTTGTACCCCTCCCCCTCAAACTTTCGACTTGCACCCCCCCCCCTCAAACTTTTGACTTGCATCCCCTCAAACTTTCGATTTGCACCCCCCCCCACTCAAACTTTCTATTTGCACCTCTTAAAAGACTATTAACACTCGAATTAATCACTTAATTAAGTAGAATTATCATTTTTCTGTATATATTTTGCTATCTTTTGCCTTGGTGTCACCCGGTGCGGTCCGCACCCCGCCCCCCCCCCCTCACTACGCCCCTGCATTTCATATTTCTCTTCAAACATAGCCCATGTATGTAGATAGAGAGATTATCGAATATCATCGATCAGTTGATAATATAAGGCCTCACCAGTTTATCTGCAGCCATCCATGGTTCTATGTAAGTCTGTAGGACAGAGTTCAGCAACCTACGGTAACTTTCTTCACCGATAGATCGGCTAGAGTCCACCAATATGATCACATCTTTCAATGATCCTGTAATGTTAGCAAACTTTATTAGTGAATTATCGGAAAAATTAAGGTCACTGGTGTAAGCGGATCACAGATTCAAATAACAGTAACAAGCATCATTAGCTGAATCCTCTATAACTACTGCCTCCAACAACACTGACTACTGCCCCCCCCCCCCCATCATCACACGAAAACAACAGCATTCCTTATCAACTCCAACACAAAACAACGACTTGTGTCGAAACTCATTTCATATCAACAAGTAAACTCTACTCCCACTGTACAAAACATGCTTTGTTCAGCACATCGTTGACGTTTTTATTGTACGAAATGTAAAAATATGGTCATGCTATTTACACAAGTGTACCCCTCTCCATATAAACACCCCGAAACAATACGAACGCGATCTCACAAACATACACCCCCTCCTCCCACCGCTATACAGATACACCCAAAATCCTGAACACACAAATACACTCCACACCAATACTCTCCACACACACGTACATATACACTCTGTATTAAACCGGCAACAACAACAAAAACAACAACCCACAAACACTCTCACAACACCATCAACGCACACACACTTAAACCAACAACAGAATTCTGGAATTCCAACAAAACTTCTCACCAGAAATCCCAATTTTAAGACTAGGCAGCACATCGAACGACGGGGTAGTTACGACATGAGAAACATTTCTCGTGTAAGACAGCAATTCCAACATGCTGATTCTGCTGCCAATGCCGACAGTCCATACATCAACGCCCTCACTGTGTAATCTATCGGTAACCTTGGAAACACACAATTAGCTAACTATAGAAATCCTATTGGATGTAAAGTCAATGGGTGTTTAAGTAAATTATTGATTTACAAAATACCACCAAGCCTTTTATATTTTTATCAGTGTATAATTTTCACGTTGAAAAAACAATGCCCCTTAGAATTACACATTTTAATTGCCGATTGCCCAAATGGCCGATTTCCCCAATGTCTGATCGCCTGAATGGCAGATTGTCCAAAATATTGATTATCCGAATTAGAGGAAATATTTGTTGTTATTTTGTTTCCAGTGTTTGTTTACCTTCCGAGCTTCCTTGGGGTACCTGGCCACTCCGTTAGTGACCAGGATCACGTGTTGTTGTCTGCTCGGTGACCTACTCTCCTTTGATTTTAAGGAAAACAATACAGTAATTAAATATTAATGACATTTTTGTAATCTTTACTGTTCATTCTAAATAGTTAGTCCCCATCCCACATCTCTCCCCATCCCACATCTCTGCTCACCCCCATCCACATCCCATCTCTCTCCCCACCCCCATCCCGCCTCTCTCCTCATCCCAATCTCCCCTCCCACCTCTCTCTCTCATGATACACAACGACTGATGTCACTATATTGATGCATTTGTTTCAGATTTCTATTTTCTCGATGTTAACTCAAGGTACAGGGTCAGACCTACTTACATTAAGTATACGTGCAAGGGTCAGGGGTCGACCCACTTACATTGAGTGCACGTGCAAGGGTCAGGGGGCGACCTACTTACATTAAGTGCATGTATAAATATCAGGGGTCGACCTACTTACATTGAGTGCATGTATAAAGGTAAGGGGTCGACCTACTTACATTGAGTGCCCGTGCACGGGTCAGGGGTCGACCTACTTACATTGAGTGCATGTATAAAGGTAAGGGGTCGACCTACTTACATTGGGTGCACGTGCAAAGGTCAGGGGTCAGACTTACATTGAGCACTTGTCGAGCCCTCTCAAACGCCAAGTCTGTGTTGGCGTACTGGCCCTCGTACGGCGCTCCCAGAATCCTCTCCTCCAAAAGTGTCAGGTTTCCGGTCATCGGAATCTCATACAAAGTCGTTGAGAACACAATCACTGAGATCTTTACCTGGGAAAATACGACAAGGCACTGAAAGGTAACCTCAAACAGTCACTGAGGACTACAGCACTGAGAACTACAGCACTGAGAACTACAGCACTGAGAACTACAGCACTGAGAATTACAGCACTGAGAACTACAGCACTGAGAACTACAGCACTGAGAATTACAGCACTGAGAACTACATCATTGAGAATTACAGCACTGAGAACTACATCATTGAGAATTACAGCACTCAGAACTACATCATTGAGAATTACAGCACTGAGAACTACATCATTGAGAATTACAGCACTGAGAACTACATCATTGAGAATTACAGCACTGAGAACTACAGCACTGAGAACTACAGCACTGAGAACTACAGCACTGAGAACTACAGCACTGAGAACTACAGCACTGAGAACTACAGCGCTGAGAACTACAGAACTGAGAACTACAGCACTGAGAGCTACAGCACTGAGAACTACATCATTGAGAATTACAGCACTGAGAACTACAGAACTGAGAACTACAGCACTGAGAGCTACAGCACTGAGAACTACAGCACTGAGAACTACAGCACTGAGAACTACAGCGCTGAGAACTACAGAACTGAGAACTACAGCACTGAGAACTACAGAACTGAGAACTACAGCACTGAGAACTACAGCACTGAGAACTACAGCACTGAGAACTACAGCACTGAGTATCACCAGGTAACATACGACATGCAACTACTAGACCAAATGTCTTGATATCTCGTGACACGAATAGTTGTTTTTTTTTCGCCTGGGCATATATAGAGATGAATAGGGACAATAAGGAATACGAGTGGTTATCATTAAAAGTTTCACAAGACTGACTCGAGCCATAGAATCGAACACAAGCCATAAACTTTAAAGCTCATTGGTACCTAATCTAAGAAATGCTAAAGTTCAAATGGGTACGGATTGGACACAACCTGCGTAGGCCAAAATAAAACATGGAAACGGTCAGCTGCCAGTGAAGCAGAAGCAGCCGGAATGACGTGGGTCCAACTTGATGGAACAGCACAGAATCGAGTTCGATGAATACGTGTGGTTGTGTCCGTAAGGTCTACAAGGGTTCCACGGGAATGATGATGATGATGATGATGATGATGATGATGATGATGATGATGATGATGATGATGATGATGATGATGATGATGATGATACCTAATCTACATTTAAATACCATACGGACCATTTGGTCGTCAACTGGCCATGATTCGATATATGACGTCATAATTTGACGCAGCATCGTCCGAAAGTTGCCCTCTCCCAGCGTCTCACTGGCGTCGATGAGAAATATGACGTCATGCTGGGCTGATGAGGAAAACAAAATTGAGATAACAACGTCAGATGTGTTAAGGGTTTTCCGTGTGGGTTAAATAAAATTCGACTGGTATTTTGGGTAAAGTGGGGATAAATTTACATGAATAGATATTTTCCAATTTATTTTGGGTACTTGTTAGTGTTAAAAAAATAAGCACTTAAATTTAATCCATAAGTGTAGTTGAGCGAGATAATAAATCTAGAAACAGTTTAAGTTATACACACCTTGTTGTCCTGACTGGGACTCGATCCTGGCTACACAACACATACAAATTACCACAGCACTCAGCCACCACGTCATGGCTGGTGTCTTCAGAGGGAAGAAATAGATTGGATAAATATATCAACACACTGTGCGAGGAAAGAAATAGATTGGCTAAATATATCAACACAATACGCGAGGAAAGAAATAGATTGGCTAAATATATCAACACAATACGCGAGGAAAGAAATAGATTGGCTAAATATATCAACACAATACACGAGGTCAAACCAGGGGCGGAACTACAGTGCCGCCAGACCCCGCAATGCGGGGGGGGGGGGCGACGCCATTTAGGGGCCCATAGCCGACCATAATAAAAAAAAATTATAGTTAAAAAAAAAATATTTTTTTACATTTTTGACTTGACGGTAAAAGCTTTTGTAAATAACAAACAGATATACTACAGTAGTGATGTTATACAGTAGCTAACACATGCTCTTGCGTAGAAAATATATATGCCTGAGCTATAGTGTGAAAGATAGGCAAACGTTCTAAACACTTCCATGACTTACTTCCCTTGTTTAAATGTTTAAATAGGGGTGCTCATAAGCTCCTTTTACTTTTTTTGTACTAAACAAATTAAAAAGCAATTATTTCTCTTTAAAAGCTTTTTTTAAATACATGCTAAAGATTGAAATAGCATAAAAAGGAAATATATTTAAAACAAATAATACAAATACAAAAAAAACATAAAAATAAACATAACACGAGAAACCATTACACATACAAAGCTCTTACGCTTTATATTCTTTTGGCCAACTAATTCTAAATCTAAAAAAAAAAAAACATTCAAAACAAACTAATGCACTCACACACATGACATGTTGTAATATTTTAAAATTGAAAATAAACTTTTTTTCTTTCAAAACCCGATCAGGCCAGAAATGACTATCCAACGTTTGCATATATATATATATATATATATATATATATATATATATATATATATATATATATATATATATATATAGGGGGGGGGCAGAAATTTTATTTTGCGGGGTGGCCCTATTTTTCTAGTTCCGCCACTGGTTCAAATAGGAAACAAATAGATTGGCTAAATATATCAACACAATACGCGATGAAATAAATAGATTGGCTATATATATCTACACAATACGCGATGAAAGAAATAGATTGGCTAAATATATCAAAACACCGCGCAAGGTCTGAGAGGAAAGAAAATTAATAGATTGGTTAAATATATCAACACACTGAGCGAGAGCGAAGAGGAAAGGAATAAATTGGCTAAATGTATCAACACAATGCGCGAGGTCTTATATTCTTGCCTTACTGGTCTAGGGTAACACTGATTAGAGAAATAATATAACGATGGACCTACATACTCAAGGCGTCAAACTGATTATTGATTTAACCTAGTGGAGAAGGGTAGAGGGGGGGGGGGGGTGCGTCAGAGGTGTGAACTCCGTCACGCCACATCCCATCCCGCACAGGGCCTCAACTTACCCACAGGTAGAGAAGAACGAGACAAAGACATATTTCAGTAGTTAAACAAACGAGAGTTGAATATTCGTTGAAAATCTAAAAGTGATACAATACCTAGGTATTTATAATAGAGAGCTAAATCTTCTCGTGTTGAATTACACCGAGAGCAGGATGGGCAGGGGTGGGGTCTAGGGGCACACGCCCTTTGATGATAAAAATAGAATCTGTCACGTGTACGTCGATAATGTAAATATTCAATGCAAATATTCGCTCCTTGGTGACAAAGGGAGAGAATGTTTAGGTTTATAACCGGTTCACAATTTGATATTTTTGCTATGCTTAACAGTCGATTTCTCATACATCGAGTCTCGCTAGAATCAATACTTTAACCCAACTGCTAAGCACATGTTATAGTAAGGGTTTGGATGTTGGTTTTTTATGTTTTTGTGTTGTATTATATAGGTGGCGCAGTTGTCACGAGCTGTGTTATAGGCCTATAACACATTAATATATTATTTGTTCGATTTTAAAAAAAAAATGAAGTTCCTATTTTTTGCGTGTATGAATCTAGGTCTATCATATTGATAACATTACCAGTATCACAATGTTAAAAATATTCTTTAAGGCTCGAGACGGTTACAAGGGCAGATGAAGTAGAGTTAATCTGTTTGTGTCATCTTGTCACTACTCTCCCTAGCAGCATGTTCTCTCTCTAGCAGCATGTACTCTCTATAGCATGTACTCTCTATAGCAGCATGTACTCTCTCTAGCAGCATGTACTCTCTCTAGCTTGGCTCAGATACCCAGCAGAGTGGGTTAGACTACAGGAAGTCTTATGGGCTCCAGTGTTGAAACTGAACTGCAGATTTGCTGGAACTTTATATGCCGAGATCACCAAAACGTGTGAACTCTTCTTCACCTACCCCTTGGATCGTTGTGTGCGAAACAGTACTTTACTTTACTGACTAAAAATTATCTATGATTGCTTCGTTAGTTATTCGGACTGTCAATTAGTAATGCCTATATGATCTGTTAGTCAGTCGGTGCATCGATCACTCGGTCTGACAATCTGTATGTCGATCCGTCAGTCAGTCAGTCACTCGGTCTTTCATTCTATATCCGTCAATCAATCAGTCAGTGTGTCAGTCAGTGTGACTGTCAGTTAGTCAGTCACTCGGTCTTTCATTCTATATCCGTCAATCAGTCACTGTGTGTCAGTCAGTGTGTCTGTCAGTCAGTCAGCATGCCGTTCACTCGGTTCGTCTGTCAATATGTCCATCCGTCAGTCAGTTCGTGAGTCGGTCAGCCTGTCGATGTGTCTATCCATCCATCATATATTATCTACACAAACACAACATTTATTCCTACTTACAGTTCCTCCTGGACCAAGAAACTCCCAAGTGAAAAACTTTAAGAATTATCTCCCTGCAGTAACCGAGCTCCACCTTAGAGAGCTAATATTGACTGTGTACACTTGTGATCACGGAGGAAATATAACTATAAAATAACTCGCGCGAAGTCTAAATCGACGCCTTACTTTTGAGTCCCGAACTATAAGTTCACGGGTAATAGTTTTAGGAATTTTAAAAATTCCCGTTTTTATTGAGAAAAATTTTAGTTGAGTTTTTCAGACCTAAGTGACAAAATGTTGGCATGAAGATAACAATAACCCTTCGGTTCATATTGTAGCAATTTTGCTACATGGTGAAATGACCGCAAATGAATCAACACACATATTGAAAATCTGAGTTAACATATATAATCATACACATAGCATTTTATATCTTGACCAACAGAGTTTCTTCCAGCCCCCCCCCCCCCCCGAACGAAATGAAATTTATATAATTTATATAGAAAATATATACTTTTAACAGTGTCCGCCGCCCCCCCCCCCCGAAGAAAGTCTACCGCCCCCCCCCCCCCCCCCCCCCGAAAATTTCAAGTGCCCCTCCCACCCCCCACCCCCCACCCCCCACCCCCCCCCCCCCGGAGAAAAAAGTCTGGAAGAAACACTGATTAGTAGGCCTATATTATAGTCTTAATTTTATGATGTGTAAAAATTCATGTTTTTTAATATCATTATCCAATTATCTAATTTTTTGTGGTTTAGGGGTCGTTTATGAATGACATTATTTTCTGGAGGGGGGTATTTAAAAAAAAACTGGCAGGTATCAGGCCTTTTAAATAACCTCTGTCTAATAGAAATTAGATTAATGTAGGCCGAAACTATCTTGATCCGTATTCGCTACTAAATAAAAAGGCCTAGTTATTAGAATAGATAGCAATGCATCCGGCTAAACCAGACCGGCTTGCTGATCGCGATTGGAGGATGGAGGCTCACTCTTAGTGACGTGTGACGATTTGGCGGGGGGGGGGGGATGGAGAATAATCGATTTAAAAAATACGGACGACGTTTATGGACGAGACTGATTGCAGCTTTAAAAAAATGAGTGGGTCCCAGATCTATTTATTTTCAATTTTTAGTTTTATGCCGTTGGCGTTAAGTTAAATCTAGAATAGGCTAACTAAGACTAGTTTAAATGTAAGTCTTTCGATTTAGAAAAACAGAATAGTGATATCTCGTTTTTTCTCGTCACTCACGGGTTGTTGACTATTGACAACATGGCAGTCTTCGACAACAACAAGGAACAAATCAGTTATAAACATTAGTTTAGAAGTTGTTATTTGTAATACTTCTTATTTGAAAAGTTTTTAATTTGTCGTACCCACATGACACATCAAATTTGGAATAATCATTTTCAAAAAAAGCTGAGATATGGGTGCGAAGGCCAACTGTTTTGCACTCTATTTAGTTTTGTTGACGTGTATTTTGCTGGTATTGCAAACATCGCAGACGTCAACTAAGATTTCAGCAGAAGAGAAAAAGCAACTAAGGTACAAACAAGTGTTTGATTTTATTTGTAATCATTTGTTATAATATGATTTATTTGTTTTATAAATGCTTATTTCGCCACATTAAGTTCATAGAGACGTAGATTGATCTCTACTCTAGACAGAAGAATCTAGCTAGTCTAAAAGTTAAAAGTCTAAGCTAGATCTCTAGATCTAGATTCTAGAGTGTCTGCGCCCCCCCCTCCCCGAAAATTTCAAGTGCCCCCACCCCTGGAGAACCAGAGAAAAAAGTATGGAAGAAACACTGAGATCAATGTAGTAGCTTTTCTTACTAAATCTAGAATTTACCCAAATTTCAAATTAAACATGACTACTGAATGATAGACATCCATATTTAATCCATTAGGGACTAATTTTGAAGTTTTTAGTTCGTTTTAAACTAAATTACTTAATTTAATATTTATTGACACTCACTGCCATGGACAACACATCTCTCCATGACAACTCTTCTTACCCCTGAAGGCACTTGAAGCTAAAGAGAACCACAAATGCGGTTAGACTTTTTAAGTGGCCATGTACCCAGAGTTCCCCACTAGTGATCATCAAATAGCGGTCACGTGGTCAAAAAAATAAAAAAAATTTGGTTGTCATTTTTTGGCCACTCTTATAAAAAAAAGGGTTGACTATATTTGATTTATTTTTTCATAGACTGATAAAACTAATAATGCTTTAGTAGGGAAATCAATTTTGTAATAGGGAAATCTATATTTAAAAAGTTCTAGTATTTTTGATGAAACCAACTTTTAAATTTAGCCTTCATTCTCCAACGCAAATTTTAAAATGCTTTTCTGGCATATATAGCCCTGCCACCTATAGCTTGTTGTTATAACGTGAAAGTCCCGCCATTTTGCGCGTGGTAAACATTTTAAAAACTAATTAGTAGAAGGTCTCTGGAATTTGGCCGAAAAATCGTCGGATGTCAAGCGTCCGGTCCGGGCGCCATATTGTTGTTAGCAACCGGCCACGCCTCCGGGTTAGCGAGAAATACTACAATGTAGATCTACGTTTTTTAAATTTTTTGTTTGGCAGGTTCTGAGGTTAGGTGTGTTCCCAATTTCTCATATTCTAGCTCAAGAAGGAATCTAAAACTAGATATAGATTACTAGAAGATTGAAACATTTCAGATCTCTATTATATATATTATATAGACCTAGGTTCCTGCCATATCCTATAGTACTATAGTATGCTCCTTAGGCCTATTTAATTTATATTTATATGCCTAGCTCAGCAAGCAGCAAAGATCCTTTATTTCATGTGCTAGGCTCAGAGGTTTTAAGTTAACTTTAGTACTTAAATGTTTTTGAGTCCTGGCTTAGATTAAGTTAGATTTATTAGTTTAGTACTTGTTAGCCTGTCTTACTAAATTGTAAATTTTATCATAATTAAATAATTTAACATATTAATATCATCACAACATGAGTTAACATCCACCATCAAAGTTAACTTAATACCAAATGACAAATGTAGACCTAAGTCACACTAATTTAATGACCAAATTTCAGCAACTCACTAAAAACCAAACTTGTATACCCATTTTTATTTTTGACTTGTCAGAGGTTAACATACCTGTTTTATAAATCTCCTTAGCAAAATTTGCCATCGTCAAAAATTATCTTTGTTTTTAATCAAATGTTTCAGGGAAAAGTCAGTCGAGATGTTTTATCATGCATACAATGCTTACATGGTATGTATTATGAACACATGAAACTATTAAATTCAAGTATCATCTGGGTGTTTAATTTTAACTATTGATCTAATCATTATCAATGCATGGTTTTTGAGTAGTTTAATTAATGCTATTCGTGATATAAAAAATGGGTACCTAAAATTTTTTAATTTTTAAGCAAATAATGTATAAAACTATATGTATGATTTTTCTGTTATCTAGAACAATGCATACCCAGCTGATGAGCTGATGCCATTATCATGTAGAGGCAGGTATAGAGGATCAGAACCATCTAGGGGGGATATAGATGACAGTCTAGGAAAGTAAGTTTTAAGGCAATTTTTTTTTAGTATTTTTATTTTAGTTATTTTTAAAAAACAGCAATAGTATAGATTAAAATCTTAAAGTTTTAAAAGCTATTTCTCATATGATATAGTTACATTTCTGTGACATTCATGTTGTTTTTGCTGATAGCTTGTTGCTTGAGTACAGTTTTTATCAAATACTGAAAGTTGTACATTTATCAATGCTTAAACAGCTCAGTTTTAACATATGAGTTGTATCTAAAATGTAAATATCTAAGGAAAATGGTGTACAAGTTTTAAAATGGACACAATATCTAATTTTGTTTCTTTCCTTTTTCAGTTTTACCTTAACCTTGATAGATACTCTTGACACTCTAGCTGTAAGTTAAAAACCTTTTGTAACTTTCTTGTTGTGTTAACTGTATTACAGTTTACAAAGTCATCCCTTGACTTCATTGAAATATCTTTACATTTGTTTTTTTTTCAAGTCACTAGTAGAATAAGATGAATTTTATTTCAAATGACTTTCTGCCTGTCCTAACAAAATTGCTTTAAAATTTTTAACTAGGTACTTGGCGATCTTGTAGAGTTTGATAAAGCTGTTAGGCATGTGATTAATGATGCCCGTTTTGATGCTGATGTTGTGGTATCTGTTTTTGAGACAAATATTAGAGTCCTTGGGTAAGTCTGCCTATTACTTAGTGAATTCGAAAACAATTTTCCTATTTGTGTCATCTTTTTTGTTTATAAATACTTATATCAGATCCCTTTGGTGTTGCATACATTTATTAATAAGCCTTTTAGTACTTTTATAAATTTACCTGTTATCGTAAACAAATTTTCATGGCTAAATTCATCTACTTGTATATGAATACATATGTTTGTTTCTGACTTTAGTGGGTTGCTAGGCGGCCATGTTGCAGCCAGTTTTTTTAAGAAGAAAAAGCTGGCCATGATGTGGTACCAGGATGAGCTGTTGACAATGGCCAAAGAAGTTGGTGACCGTCTTCTTCCTGCGTTTAACACTACCACAGGGATACCATACCCCAGGGTGAGTTGGTTTTGACTATTGAATTTGTATCTTAATGTTTTAGTGTATTTTTAAAAACAATACTCAAAAAGTAAAACACCCTGCCAAAACTGATGGTCTTTAAATTGCTATGACCTCAGTACATACCCCTCTGGCTTCACTTTCCTTTTCTAGTGACTGAGACCACACCATTATATTTTAATTACGGTAGCTAGTATCAAGGATCTAATGTTGTATTATTAATGTACAATTGTTTTCTGGTAAATCCTGAATATTCAATCATTGTGTAACAGTATTACACCAGGACCACATTTTTATTTTTGACACTTGTTGACTATAATAGATTATTTTCTTTTTGATTCAATAGTTGAAAGCCAAGTTTTTCTGGTCTAGGACCCAGTTAGCTATAATGATTTTTTAATTCAGTACTCTAGTGTTTAAAATGAATATTTTTCAGGTAAACCTGAAACACGGTTTCACACCAAAGATTCTAGGACCCAGCTAGCTATAATGATTTTTTTCTTCAGTACTCTAGTTTTTAAAATGAATATTTTTCAGGTAAACCTGAAACACGGTGTCACGCCAAAGATTCTAGGGCCCAGTTAGCTTTAATGATTTTTTGTTAATTCTGTACTCTAGTGTTTAAAATGTATGTTTTTCAGGTAAACCTGAAACACGGTGTCACACCAAAGATTGCCAATGCCAACCGCGACACTTGTACTTCGTGTGCTGGGACTATGATATTGGAGTTTGCTGCTCTCTCCAGACTCACTGGCATTGGGGTTTATGAGGTGACTAGTGACTAAATTTTATTGGGGTTTAGGGGGTGACTAGTGCCTAAATTTCATTGGGGTTTATGAGGTGACTAGTGACTAAATTTTATTGGGGTTTATGGGTGACTATATTTTATAGGATGACTCGTGACTAAATTTTATTGGGGCTTATGGGGTGACTATATGTTATTGGGGTTTTTGAGGTGACTAGTGACTAAATTTTATTGGGGTTTAGGGGGTGACTATATGTTATTGGGGTTTATGGGTGACTATATTTTATTCTGGTTTATGGGTGACTATTTTATGGGGGTTTACGAAGTGATTATATGTTATTGGGGTTTATGGGTTGGCTATTTTATTGGGGTTTATAAAGTAACAATATCTTTGTCTGTTAATTTATGTAACTCATGAAAAAGTTAAATTTTTAAAATAATCATCTACTTAGGAGTAACTCAATTTAAATTTCTTATATGAGATGAGATGATCAATCAGAAAGTGTGACAGATGACAAAGAGTTCACCGGTAGACTTGGCATATAAAATGTGTGAAAAGTACACAACACTGTGTGCCTTACCCATCTATCAAGTTCCAAATCCACGGTGAACACAGCACTTTTATAACCTCAGCACAAGTTGCCTAAATTGTGTATTTGTTTGTAGGAGAAGAGCCGAAAAGCTATGGATTACCTGTGGGGTCAGCGCCATCGCAGCAACAACCTGATGGGTATGGTGATCAACATACACAGTGGGGACTGGATACGTCGGGGTAACCCAGAGTTTTGTTGTTAAATTTCCATATGTTAACTTATGAACTGTAGGAAAATACACAAATAGCAAACAATAAATTTGGTATGTTGTTGAATTATCAGCGTTTTAATCTTAAATCTAAAAGTAAAACCATTGTGTTATTTTATTCTTAAACCATCTGATAAATATTATGTTGCTTTAATCCTAATCAGTCAAATAAAACAATCTGTGATGCTCATTTAATCTTGAATGTTTATTTTCAACAGAGAGTGGTGTGGGTGCAGGCATAGATTCATATTATGAATATGTTCTAAAAGCTTATGTATTATTGGGGGATGATACATATCTGGCCAGATTCAACAAGGTAAGAAAGCCATATTTCATGTATGTATCAGTAGATTCCTTTTTTTTTTAGTTTAAATTAATTTAATAAATCCCCTTCATACTTGTTTATTATTTAATTTGAATAAATTTAACTTAAACTCAACTTTTTTTTATGTTAAGGTTAATCCTAACCTGTATTTCCTGTGTTGCAGCATTATGACGCAGTTATGCGCTATGTGAGCCAGGGTCCCCTGTTGGTGGACGTACACATGCACAAACCCACAAGTGCTGCCAAAAATTTTATGGATGCCTTGTTAGCATTTTGGCCTGGGCTGCAGGTAGGTTTTGCCATAAGTTAACTTTTAATTTTTAAAATTTTTAGTGCAGTTTTAGAAAAAAAAACAAATATTTCACTTCTGAGTTCAAGGCCGTAGTTGTAGATTCAACATATAACTTCATTGTAGGCATATGGGTAGAACCCCCACCATATTGCTTGTTGCACATTAAGCTGGCAATGGTGTGTTTGTTTTGCTTTCAGTGCTTAGAATTTCAAAATTCTGAATGTGAATATAAATTTAAAAAACATTTACTTTAAAAATTGTTAAAACCTACAACACATCATCATCCTTTCCCATTCCTGCACAAGACACATAGGGCAGATGAAGTAGAGTTCATCTGCTTCAGATGATGGGATAGTGTGGTCAGCACTATGCCCCCCTGCCACACAAAACATCACGTAAAGCCTAAATAAATAACATTTGATAACACAGATAACACTGATGTTTTATGAAATAGTTTACAAGAAGATGCATTAGTAAAAAGTTAGTGTCGGGTTCTTCAATGTCTGGGGGTATATATTAACAGACAAATATGACGTATATAACAGTAGATGACACTAACACTCTATAATAATAATAAGATATTTTATATATATACAATAAAAAAATAATAAAAGATAAAAGAGGTCTACAACACAAATAACAATACTCAACACCACGCCAACAGACACGCTACAACTAACTGCTTCACACACTAGCGCACGCTCTGACACACCTCACGTGAACACTTCTCGCTCCATGTAAACACACTCAACCAAGGGATACAACTATACACAAAAAGGAGAGTACCTGTCCTTCCAGCACACAACACACACACACACAATCAGGGGATATGTAAGGGACGTAACATCTAGTTGCTGTTAGTAAAATTGTATTGTTATAGTAAAAAGATGAGATAGTTGCCATTAATAAAATGCAAATCTTATGTAAACATACCTTTGTAACCAGGTGCTAGTAGGTGACATTGGCCCTGCTGTTGAGACGCATGAGATGCTTTATCAAGTCATACAGCGGCACAACTTCCTACCTGAGGTAATCACTGCATTTTAATCTCAGCTACAACACTCTGTACTGTTGTTATAATTGTGTGTTATTTCCCTTGTCATCTTGTTACCTCCCTTAGAATACTTAAACCCACAGTTACTTAAAGTAACACCATTTTTTTTTCCAGGCATTTACAACAGATTTCAGAGTCCACTGGGGTCAGCACCCTTTGAGGCCTGAGTTTTTAGAGTCTACTTACTTCTTGTATAAGGTATTATTTTAAACTTACTACTTTGTATATGCACACACAGTGACTATTACTTTTTTGTTCCATTCAAACAATTAGCAAAGTTTCTATATAGTGTTATAAAAATGGCAATAACTATCTCTTAGATGAGAATTTTGTAAGCATAAAATAAGAAAATATAGTCTTCACATGTGAAGGTTGGTGTGACATGTCTGTTAACAAGTTATTCTCTTGCCAGGCGACCTCTGACCCCTACTACCTGGAGGTGGGGAAGAAAGTTTTGGAAAATCTAGAGCTACACGCGAGGGTACCATGTGGGTTTGCGGCTATCAAAGATATTAAAAAAGGCACACATGAGGACCAGTTAGTTCACTTTTTTCCATTCAATCCTGTCTACTCTTACAGTTGTACAAACTCTTTATTCCTGTAATAGCTTTTCTCTAAAGTCACTTTTGGTTGATATTTTTTTAAGCTAAGCCCTTGCATTGCACCTACATTGTATTGCCTTTGTTTACTAGAACTTTGGTTTTTGTATCTCCCACAGAATGGATTCCTTTGTGCTGGCGGAGACATTCAAGTATTTGTTTTTGTTGTTTTCTCACAAAGAAGATGTGCTCTTAGACATTGATGACTTCATCTTCACAACAGAGGCCCACCTGCTGCCCCTGACCTTATCTGTGGGCAACTACTCCTGGAAGAGTGCGCCCAAAGTCCACCCAGACATCTACAAGTTCGACATGATGTCCGTGGCCGAAATGACCAAAGCCGTAGAGGAGGAGGAGGCTTTGGAGAACGATGATGAGTACGATGAGGAGAGAGGCATGTGCCGGAACTACCATGTGAGCTTGACGGAGGGGCCCGGGTACCCACATCGGCTGAGGCACCAGCTCAGGGACCTGGTCGACAGGACCCACCCCCACCTCAAGTCTGACTTCCCCAGACTGAAGGCGGTGGACTTTGTCGCTGGCAACAAGGAACACCTGGAGCTGCTGCACCACATGGGGATCAGGATGGCCACTATGCCAGATGGCCGCATACAACTCCTGCATACGGCCTCGGAAGCGCTGTCCCAAGCGTACGCGGACGCTGGGTTAGAGTTCATGCAAGAGATGATCAGTTTGAGCCGCGCTCAACAGCAGGAGAGCCAACATGAGCCGATGTTCATTCGGCTTCTGTCGGAGCCGTTTAACGGTGAAGTGGTGTACAGAGCCGGGCCGGCGCAGTTCGGATACGAGCTCGGCAAGAACCCTTCAGTTATAGGCAACGTCGTGGTGGCCAGGCCTATCAAAGGTTGCACAGATATTGAGAACGGAGATGAAGTCAATGGTAAAATTGTTATTGTGGAGAGGGGGGAGTGCATGTTTGTGGACAAGGCCAGGAGTATACAAAAGAAAGGTGGCATAGGGGGTATAGTTCTGGACCAGGCCCAGGGCACGTCCAGTGACGTTCTCAGCCTGTTTGCCATGTCAGGTGACGGCACTAATGACGTCACCATCCCCATGGTGTTCTTGTTCTGGAAGCAGGGACAGGATCTGACAGACACACTCACCAAATTCCCATCACTACTTGTGGAGCTCACGTCCAGGCAATGTAAGTATCTGATAGACACACTCAACACTTCCCATCTCTGATAGACACACTCAACACTTCCCACCTCTAGACAATGTAAGTATCTGATAGACACACTCAACACTTCCCATCTCTGATAGACACACTCAACACTTCCCATCTCTAGGCTATGTAAGTATCTGATAGACACACTCAACACTTCCCATCTCTAGACAATGTAAGTATCTGATAGACACACTCAACACGTCCCATCTCTAGACAATGTAAGTATCTGATAGACACACTCAACATTTCCCATCTCTAGGCTATGTAAGTATCTGATAGACACACTCAACACTTCCCATCTCTAGACAATGTAAGAATCTGATAGACACACTCAACACTTGCCATCTTTCAGTCAATATAAGTACTCTATTTAAACAATAGTTTCTTATTAATTAACATGAAGACTACAAATTTAAATACAGGCAATCTACAGTTTAGTTGTAGTTGAGCTCCTTATATCATCTATTTATTTTATCTAGTACAAATGTGAGTGAAGAATCAAGCTCTATTATGTGCAGAAATAGTATTTTAGTTAAACTTGTAGACTATTTTTTGCTTAAATATCCTTAATATTAGTTTATTTATTCACTTAGTAATAGTGATTTTTACTGCATTCCACAAAATTGTATGCATCTTTTTAAAAATCTGTTAGTTATGTAGTCGTAGTAGAATTTACATAGTCAGTATGTAACACTGAATATTTGGTTTAGGTGTTTCTGCTTTCACAGTGTTTTTAATTTAAAAGTTTCAAATCTTTTAATAAACAGAATATTGTTGTACTTTTTGTTAAATCAATTACAGTTAAGGTAAAAAATTATAGTGTAAAAATGTCAGTTGTAATATAAAATAGTTTTTTTTACTGTTCTGCAGCCACTGAAGAGTTCTCTGAGAAACAGACCCCGACCCCAGAACCTGTTGGCACAAACACACCTGAGGATGTATCAGGTCCCCCACCACACGATGGTGACACAGCCCCACTGTCCAAATCTGATCACGAGTTCTACCACCATGACCATCTGGACAGGGGCAGTAACCAGTACACTCTCCAGGCAGGCACCAAGTTTTTCCACATGAGCGTGGAGGTCTCAGAGAGGCAGGACACACCCTCTGAAGACACAACCCCCGTGATGAAGTACGAGCCGGTGCCTGATGGCTCCAAAATGTTCTCCTTCTGGCTGAAGCTCCGATTCCCCACGGCCGATAAGCCAAACCTGAACGAGATGTACCTGGACGTGATTCACACCCTGCAGCACCAGACCAACATGGAGCAGCTGGAGGACTCGGCCAACTACATGAAGTCCATCGCCAGGTTTATGGAGTCCGCCTTCTTCTCCATTGACCGCATCGACCAGGCCGCCCTGGATGTCATGAGGGACTTCACCAAGAACATCGTTGTCAAGCACACCTTGCCAAACGGAGACACTGTCTCCATTCTTAAAAGTAAGCATGTTGATAAAGGAGACAAATCCGAGCCTATCGGAACCTCGACGGTCACCCAGGCTATCAACAATGGCATCACTTTATCAATACCTCTGCCTAACAATGCTAATTCTGGTGCTGAGCACTCGGACCAGATTTCACTCACCCTTGAAGCAGTTGCGACGCGTGAGGTGCATGTACCACAGCATCCTTCAGACGCAACTGAACCCCCGCACATTCCAACCACACCCCCGTCTTCTCTAGAGGGGGCTGAACAAGACCCAGACGGGCCAAAAGTTTCGTCTTCCACTTCCCAAAACCAGCCTAACCCTCAGCAGAGTTTTGACGAGAGCCTGGAAAAAGATTTAAATATACACAGATCAGATTCTATACCCACAGAGAAAGTAGATTCACAATCACATGCAAGGGATGGACATTATATAAGCAACGACGAACTTTGATTTTTCCCTCGTAAATTGTAGTATAATGCCAACCATAAATATATATATTTTTAACAATTATGAAATTGCTAAGTTCAATTTAGCAGCTGTGATGTTACTGTTTCTGATGATCTTGAACTGTAAAATAATCCTGTACTTTGTTTCAAGAACTGCTCCTTAACCAACTTCTTATTTGATTTCAAGGCTTTGATTTGGGTGATACACTGTTGTGGGTTAATTTAAACTGCATTGAAAAGTTGTGTCCTTTATGGTTCTATTCTTGTTTTTTTTGTTCTATGTGATGAGACAAAGTTTTTACCTGTTTTGTTTTTCAATTTTTTTTTATGTTTATGCAAATGTTGACATAGCTGAAGTGAAACAACAGTTCCAGTGCAGTGCGAGTTTGTAAACTTTGATTCCACACATAATTCTACTCACCTTATAACAGCATAGAATTACTTACAATATGTGAACACAACTGCTACAAAATTTTAATATCTAGGTAAGAAGTTCACGAAATTGGAGTATTACTACCATTATGATTTCTTGTTTATTTAAATTGGAAACCATGGTACTTATTTAAGCCTCTTAACTGTGTAGATTACAGACAATTGTACACATGAAAGCCACATTAAATACTTGTAGAATTGTATTCCATAGTTTAAACAAATTCTGGATTTTCCATAGAACTCATTGCTATGTTGGTAAATATCTTTATAGCCCATATACCAACACAAATTCTGGATTTTCCATAGAACTCATTACTATGTTCATAAATATCTTTATAGCGCATATACCAACACCAATTTTTTGGGATTTTCACATAGAACATTACTATGCTGATAAATATCTTTATAGAGCATATACCAACACCAATTTTTGGATTTTCACATAGAACATTACTATGTTGATAATATCTTTGTAGCGCATGTACTCAATCTGTCAACACTGTTGTTTACCCTGGTGACGACACTTAAGGTCACATTTCTTTAGACTTGAATATGTTTACTGTAAGACACACTGGGCACTTGTTTGTGTTGTAGCCACATTTCTTTAGACTTGAATATGTTTACTGTAAGACACACTGGGCACTTGTTTGTGTTGTAGCCACATTTCTTTAGACTTGAGTTGAATATGTTTACTGTAAGACACACTGGGCACTTGTTTGTGTTGTAGCCACATTTCTTTAGACTTGAGTTGAATATGTTTACTGTAAGACACACTGGGCACTTGTTTGTGTTGTAGCCACATTTCTTTAGACTTGAGTTGAATATGTTTACTGTAAGACACACTGGGCACTTGTTTGTGTTGTAGATACTTGTCACCACATTGTAGTGGGAATTTTATCCATAGACAACAACAGTAACAGTTAAAACCACTAAAACAAAACTGTATTAAAATAATCCACTATGATTGCAGTCAGTCGTCTAAGCAAGGACAGGTTGTTAAATTATTTTTATCTTGTAATAACTTGCCTTTCTGCTAGTGTTGTTATTGTCGTTAATAATTCAGCACAAAGGTTTGTGCAGCATAATATAGACTTAATGTTATATCTTGCTAAAACAACAAACTGGTATTGATGTATACTGTGGACTCAGCTGTTATTTGTTTATTCACCCCCCTGTTGAAAGGACTTGAGTTTCTACTTGTTATTTAGTTCCTTCTGTAAAGGACTTTACTGCAAGATGTGTTGGTGAAGTGTCCTGTGAAATAACCAATCACAGTTTATATCTGCCTGTTGAATAGGCCCCCAAGCCTAGGATAAACTACACTAACATGGTTTCTCTACCCTCTGTAGTTTGCCATCATGAAAAATATGTCATAATTTTAGTTTGTTTTATTTTAAGAAAATGTGTGTAGTTTTATTTTAATGGATTACTATTTTGCTTAACTTTTGGTTGTAATGTCAAGTTTGATTGGATGGCTGGTGTATAGTAATTATCTTTGCTATTTTCATTGGTTGAGCCATTGTTTAACTATTGCTAAGGGCAAGTTATAGTCTCAGGCTAATTTTTTGTTCCGTTGGTTCTCAGTTTATGTGATCATTGTTTTGTTTTTCAATTGTTTGTTTGTTTTTTTGTTTTTTTTTTAAATTATTTGTTTTCTTACTTCCTTATATTATATACTGTAGTTTCCATGAACTGTACCAGCCATATACTGTACCAGCCATGTACTGTACCAGCTAAATATTGTGCTAGCTGAGTACTGTACCAGCAATATTCTATAAGTTTACCACTATTTTTACTGTTTGTGTGGGCCATGTACTGTTGCAATTTTTTTTTGTTTTGAGTTTAATGCAGCCTAAGAGTGTTGTAGTATATATCAAGTGTCTAAAACCTCTTATTATGATGTGGACATAAGTTTAAACTTATACCATTGCACACTTTGTGTAAGCCTTGTATAAATGTGTATATAGTTTTTTTTTAATAAACATAAGTTAAAATACTTTAGGATTGAATACACCCCAGTAAAAAGTAAACTAGTTTATAAAAAACTTGGAATATTGATGTGAAACAATGCTTTATGTAAGAGTTCAGAAACTTGGGCTTCCATGGTATCTCTGTACACTTGCCCTTCAATATGTTTCTTGTGTCAGTTTATGATGTAATTACATTGGTTCAACATTGTTTTAAAATAGTTAATTAACTTAGTGAAGCATAGTTAATTAACTTGACTAGGCTGTGGTTTTATTTTTTTTACTTTAACTATAAAGTTGTGTGTTATTTTTTTTTCTTTCAAGATTTGCTGTTGATGTTGAGTGTTTTGAAATGTTGATTTAACTGCGAATGTTGTAGAACAATTGACTCAATGTGGAATTGCTATAAGGACCATCAGATACTATAGCGCAGTGTATGAGTGTAAAGGGCATCAGTTTCTACAGACCACCTTCAATGAACACAATGTAATTCAAACAAGAATACTTAAATGTAAAGATATTTTGGACCATTATGCTATGGCCAAAAATGCATCAACATGCTGGTTTTGCTACTGTTATTTCATCTTGTACTCAGTTCATGTTGTATATCTCTTCCATGTATCCAAGTGTTCTATATATGGCAGTTATTTCTTCCCATCCCTTGCTGGACTTTATAAATATTATTTAAAACTTTTTTCTAAATTTAGTGGTACTATTAGTTTAACTCTGTGGGATGGAGTGATCTAGCTATAGAGAGCTAGACTGCTAATCCGTAAGTCTTGAATTTAAATCTGGGTTCAAGTAACCAGACGGTCCCTGAGTTCATCCAGATCTGATGGGTACCCAACTCACGTCAGGGAAAGTAAAGGCGGCTGAGCATAGCGCTGACCACTATCCCTTCATATGCCGAGGTTACAGAAACATGTGAACTGTACTTCACTTTCCCCATTTACCATCAGGTTTGGGAGGGGAACTTATTATGTAAACCCATTGGGGATAAATAGTGTAATAAACCACTCGATTCAATTGATGGACTGGTTCCTTTGTTACGGAGATAGTCATCACTAATTGAGTCTTGTGTCAGTACATACAGTATAATGAGCACAGCTTGTAAGATATAAAAGTATTGTGTAGGATTTGCCTGAAGGTAATTGTATCAGCTTGATTAGATTGTAGTCAAATTCATTCAGTTGTTTGAATATTTCCCTTTGTCTATTTCTTTTGCTTGTGGTTGTAGCCAGATTGAGTCAAAAGATTGTGGGTGTCATATGATTGTGAGAATCAGATGATTGTGTTATCTCTTTGTGTGTGTGTTTATGTGTGTATGTGTGCATATTATAAGTTGAACCATGTATTGAATGTTATGCTGTCTGTGTGTGTGTGTGTACATGTATGTTGAACCATATATTGAATGTTGTGGTGTCTGAGTGTGTGTTTGTGTACATGTATGTTGAACCATATATTGAATGTTGTGGTGTCTGAGTGTGTGTTTGTGTACATGTATGTTGAACCATATATTGAATGTTGTGGTGTCTGAGTGTGTGTTTGTGTACATGTATGTTGAACCATGTATTGAATGTTGTGGTGTCTAAGTGTGTGTTTGTGTACATGTATGTTGAACCATGTATTGAATGTTGTGGTGTCTAAGTGTGTGTTTGTGTACATATATGTTGAACCACATAATGAGTGTATTGCTATGTGTGTTCCCATCAAGCAGCTGGCCTAACCCCAGGGGGCTGCTAGAAAGCTGTGACCTGGTGTCATTAGTTTTGTTTTGTTTTATTGTTAATTAATTAATCAATCATGTTACTATTTCATGATGCAATAAACTGAACAATTTGTTTTCTTTCTGTTGTTGTCATTTTTTTTTTTTTGCAGTAGCTCTAAGGTACATGTGAAGTTCAAGATGATTGTTAAGGTTAGTTGGCCAACATAATTGTAAAATTTGTTGGCCAAAATAATTGTGCACTTTGTTGGCCACCATAAAAGTTTGTTGGCCAACATGATTGTAAAATTTGTTGGCCAAAATAATTGTGCACTTTGTTGGCCACCATTAATGTTTGTTGGCCAACATGATTGTAAAGTTTGTTGGCCAAAATAATTGTGCACTTTGTTGGCCACCATAAAAGTTTGTAGGCCAACATGACTGAAAGGCCAAGGTTTGTGATAACATTTCACAGAAATCATTAGTCTTGACACAATGGAGCTGAATAGCAAAAAAAAATAATTTTGTCCAAAAATGTATCAAGTTTTAAACAGTCACCTGATTGCATCATTATAGAATTTAAATAAAAACTTCGCCTATGGGGTCTAAAACTTAATAAACAGAAACTATAATTTTATAAAAATCAATTTTTAAAAAATCTAACAAGTGAACTGGCATCGCCTGTAGAGCTCCAATATCGACTACGTTCCACTTGATCATTTATCGATTACCCTGAATAATGCATTGATTCCATTTGAAACTTTGAAGTATATTGCCATGCACTGAACACCTGTCTTTAATCAAGTTGATAGGAACTACGTCATCAAAAGCTGTAAGTACTTACACAACCACAAAATCTGTAACAGTCTACAAAATAATCTCAGGTATCGAACACCTATTTTCACGCTAGAGTAACTCCGATTATCATCGATCGACTCTATTGTGCGAAGAAAACCCCGGTTGGCCTCAGAATATAAAAACGAAGCCAGTCGATACTATTATTAATAATTAACAACTTTAAACAAATTTACAAGGACAGATAACACAAGCGAAAATCAATAAAAACTAAAATTGCTTTTTGGTTTGTCAACAAATTAACCTTCACTGTTCTCGCTTCTACAACCATGCGTCCCGCACTTGACCTAAATACTGGCTAGCAACTGTTGTGAAGGTAAACATTGCAACATGGATGACGCTCTTGCACCCAGCATTGCTTAATTTTATTCAAACTGGTTTCGACGCTATTGAAATGTATACTATCAAATTGTATTGGTTAGCCTACAGTCGGTTTCGCAATTTACCCCACGTATTCATACAAAATAGATCCAGGCCTAGACGCTATATTTATAATTTTAAAGGAAGACAGAAGAAACCTATCCTATTACTATTGCGCATTTAAATTTTTGGCCACCAACTCAATTTTTATTCATGACGTTACATACATCATGGTTAAGTAATTACGCAATGCAACACCATTAAATTTTTTTTTTAAGTTTTAAAGATTTGAAGTTTCAACTTAATGTAAGCCAACTTATTTCTAAACCATTTACCTACTCCTATAGCTTAATACCTTTTAGTATTTTACATACTGGAGTTTTAAATAACAGTGCCCTAACATTAAGACCTATTTTAAAATCAAGATCGATTAGTACTATGGCCTAAATCCCGGCAAATTTGTTTTCAAATTTTGAAAATTAAATATACTTTCTCCTTTTTAAATCATTGTTGTACATTAGACATAGAAATCTAATAAGAATTTTAAAACATAAAAAAAAAAACTTTGACCGAAGAAACACAAATGGGCAGCAGTTGCTTGTAGATCTATGTACTGCCTCGGACGAAGTGGATTATAGATTAGTGGCACTTAGCCCAGATCAGCTTTAGTGTTACTAGTCGAGTTGTTTACAGTGCTGTGTTGAACTCAGCAAGAGCTTGGCGATACTGGGGAAAGTTAGGGTTCAATAGGAAGTGTTTTTTATTAGACAGGTGAAGGTGTTTGTAAGGTGGTTTTTGTACCAGTTAGGGAGTTGTTGACAACCGTAATCTAGGTGAGTACAGTTTATGTCACGTCGTGTTTTTTAACATAGAGGTGTGTGTCAGTTTTGTAGGAAGGACCTTAATACATGGTCTCATGAAAATAGGGAAGACTATATTGTCTAATAAATTAGCTTTTTTAGACAGGTGATTCCTAAGTATGTGGGTACACACTTCAGTGTGTGGCCTAAGTATGTAGATTAGCTAGGCAAATGAGAACTAACCATACTGGTTAACTAAATATGTGTTATCATATCGTTGTTGAACTGAGACCAAAATATATGGTTTCAAATCCTAGTGTAAGTGCCTGAAAGAACCTCAACTCACTCCCGCCTCGTTTTAATTTTAATTTTAGACATATTTTAAACAGAAAATTAAAATTAAAGATTATACGAAGACTGCAGTTAGACTGAGTTGATGCATTTGTTTATTTTTTTTTATTGAAATGTTGTAACCTTTATGCTATGATATTTGAAAAAGTGCATTAGAAACATTTAAAATTAGCTGCAAAAGTATGAGGAAAAACGAAAACTAAATCTGAATATATAATTTAATTAATGTTTTGGAAAACCGAAAAAGGGAGACAACCTTAGATAAAATATATAAATCTAACAGTACATGAAAAAATGCCTTAACAACAAATAAATGTTTTTCGTTTCATTACGTTACACTAGTTTAATAATGCGCGTACATAATTTGCAAATATTGCATAGTAATCGATATCTTATAGAGAACTACTAAAATTATTCTACTATTTGAAAACATTACCAATTGTATATTTACGTTTCTAATTTTTTAATTATGTGAAAACATCGTAATTATTAACCATTCTTCGTCTACCTTGATTCAAAAGAATTACTAAATTATTTCAAGCAAAGCTAAGACATTGACTGGGAACACTCACATAACTAAAAAAAAAATAATTAAAAAATGTATAAGGAAAAAAAATTGAATATTAATATAAATTAATGTAAGCCCTGCTAGGGGGGAATCACTTCTATCTATTATTCTCTAGGCTTACCTAAATAATAAATTGTCCGGTCAGTGCAACCGTGGTAGACCCACGGTGGTTAAACCCTAACCTTAGTCTTATGCTGAAAATAAAACATAAATGCTTAACAATTTAATCAAATTTATTTCACAAAAATGTGGAACTAAAATTTAATGAAAAAATATAGATCTAAATAAACTAGACCAAAAAAAACCCATTCAAAACAAAACTCAACAAAACAAAGCTCAAAACATACAAAACAAAAACACCCAAATTAGGACTACAGTCCTAGAAAGAAGAAAAATAGACAAAAAAATTATTTAAAATGTAAAAAAAAAGGTTATATACATACATAGTGACTTAGAATAAACCAACCACTCTCCTGGGGATCAACAAAGATTACCTCAGGAAGTAAAAGTCGACTATTATATTTTTTTAGAATGAAGTACAATTCGATTAGCAAAACAAACACTAAAGACCATCTTAAAAATAAAACAGTCACTGCGAACAAAACTACCACACTTAACAATATCAACAAGACTAGAGTTTCTTTCAGGCATCTCTTCGCGGTGGAGACCGTGTCGTCGTCGTCGTCCCCCCCCCCCCCCGTAAAATTTAGCCTGAAAGAAACGGTGAGACATGAGATAGACTGGAATCGTAACAAACATGACGACGAGAAACTGATTGCGGTGGCCATCTTAAGATCGCTAGTCTGGTATTGACGAACGAAATTAGATTAAGTATGACGGATTTAAATATACAGACCCAGCTGTCTGTGAAATATATAAATCGAGACTTAGATCAAGACTCAGTCAATCAGAGTTTCTTCCAGGCATCTCTTCCAGCCCCCCCCCCCACCCCGAACGAATTGAAATTTATATAATTTATATAGAAAATATATACTTTTAACAGTGTCCGCCCCCCCCCCGAGTCTACCGCCCCCTCCCCCCCCCCTTGAAAATTTCAAGTGCCCCCCCCCCCCCCCCGGAGAGAAAAGTCTGGAAGAAACACTGCAGTCAATACACATAGGCCTACAAGATTTAAAAAAACAATTAATTCAATTGACATTTTAAGGGGGTTATTTTCTGGTCTTCTTTTCCCCATATCACTGCTATAGTCTTTGCGTAAAAATAAAATAACATTCATTCTATCAAAAAGTGTCAAATATGGTCTTCATTTGAATCCCACTGCCTTACTAGAGCATGCTGAATTCGACCTTGATTATGTAATTTTTTCTACTATGCCCATAGCAGACTGCCGTATAGTGTATGTGCTTTAAAGCGCCACAACAAAGATGCTTCATATATGGCCTTGAACTGTTTCCTTTTACTTATCTTCCAAGCAGACGGTGTCATAATATGGCCTTGAACTATTATTACCCCCCCCCCCTTCACTGCAGAGTCGCATGTCTTCTCATGACGTAGTAGACCACGGCTTGCCTCCTTAGCTAGTTAAAGGGGAATAATTTTCTTTCCAAAAAAGACCACTATCCTCACATTTAAAAATCTAATTACTAGGCATCATGGCCCCTAAACGTGCTTAGCTTTACTACTCTTTTATTTACTGATTGTTATTATGTCCAAATAATTTCCCACGCTGTATATATTGTAACAAATTCCCAACAAAAATGTACAAACATTTAAGATTATCATAGACAAAAATGCAATTATTGCATTTCTTTATTTTTAATTACCCCCCCCCCCCCCCCCCAACGGTTTTTCTTCCAGACGGGGGGGGGGGGGGAACTTGATATTTTCTGGGGGTGGGAGGAGGCGGACAACATTTTACGGGGTGGGGGTTGGCACTGGTAAAAGTATATGTTAATATGTAAATTCCATTTCGTTCGGGGGGGGGGGGGGCGGTAGACTTTTTCGGGGGGTTGTCCCCCCCCCCCCCCCCCCCCCCCCCCCAAAAAAAAAAAGAGATGTCTGGAAGAAACTCTGCCCCGAAGAGATGCATGAAAGAAATTGTACATCAGACAAAAAAAATTATCAGAGAACCATCTCCTCTACAAGACCGTCATGCTGGTACCTGTTAAAAAATAATACCACTACACACGACAATTTAAAACTTACACTTGAAGTCTAGAATATTCGATCGCTAAATACGCTAATGGTGACAGGTAAAAAACATGTAAAACGAACACAAACACCATTAAAATTGTTCCATCCACTGTTTGTAGACCAATTCTATCATGGGAGGTAATTCTCGCGTCGTCAAGGTAACTGATGATACGGTGTGTATTTAATACTCATTGTTATGTGTGGGCTTTAGTGACAAGAGGAATATGGGGACCACTCATAGGGGTAATTTTATGATGAGTGGATCAGGGTAACGGGGCGGGGGTGGGGGGGGGGAGAGGTACCCATAAGTGTGCTTATGTGACGAGTGCGACAATGGAACCGGGGTGTGTGTTGTTTTGGGAGGGGGGTGGTAGGCTACTCATAATTGTGCTTATATGAGGAGTGGGACAGAGAAACTGTGTGTGGGGGGGGGGGGGGGGGATAGTCATAAGTGTGCTTATATGAGTAGTGGACAGAGAATCTGTGTGTTGGGGGGGGGGGGTCCTCATATGTATGCTTTAACGAGGACCAGGAGGGTTGGAGGATTGTAGTGCCATTAAAACATGCAACAATGTCGCGTTCGAGGATTGTAGTGCCATTAAAACATGCGACAATGTCGCATTGATTTTGCTAGTGTGAGCCCAGCTCAAGAGTCCATTATCGGGTCTATTGATGTCATTAACAGAGTTAAAGCAGATGATGTTTATCTTTTGAAATGGTCGATGCTGATAAGTGTTTCAGGACTATATGTCTATGTGTGCCATTAAATTATTTTCTTGACCATCCCATTTATAGTTGCCTTAGGTGTTAGTTGTTAGAATCCCCTGCCTTGTTGCAAGAGGTACTATTTTTAGGAAGCACAATCTCTATTTGCATACAGTGCTATCTCTAATTACTTTTAATCTAACGACAAAAGACATTTTAAAAACTTTTCTGACCACTGGTGTGTCTGTGGCTTTCCATCTAACGACAAAAGACATTTTAAAATTTCTCAGCGAGGCTACCACGGCTGTTATGTAAAAAACTGAGCAATTATTCTTAAATAAATTCCTAATTTTTTTTTTAAATTTCAGATCAAATCAAATTTAAGTTAGCGCAGTCGGAAGAAATTGTCTTACGTTTTTAAAGAAGAGTTAGGGTTCGATATTATCTCAGCGCTTGAAGAAAGAGTTAGGGTTCGATATTGTCTTACAGCTTGAAAGAAGAGTTAGGGTTCGATATTATCTCAGCACTTGAAGAAAGAGGGTTCGATATGTTTTGCTCTTGAAGCAAGGCTAAACAAAAAAAAAAGCTCACTAGAGTGAGCATTTTGTTACTTTGTTGTGCTTATTCTATACAGTACTGTAGTCTGATCTGCTGATGTGATTCTAATTTTAGACTTATTTTGTAATGTGCCTATCGGAACCTACCTATATGTTTACTGCACCTGTTGATATTGTGACCTGACACTGACAATTGTGCAGACTTGACAGTCACTGACCTGAAACTGACATTTGTACAGACTTGACATTCACTGACCTGAAACTGACATTTGTACAGACTTGACAGTCACTAACCTGACACTGACATTTGTACAGACTTGACAGTCACTGACCACGACAAAACGTCTACACCTGAACTGCAACAGGAAAACAACACCGGGAACCTTATTGTCGGGTCCCTTTTTAACTGTTCTTCAGGTCATCACGACAGACTTTCCACTGCTTGTCCGCCCGATATCTGTTAGAGGCCAACTGCTTGTGTTGGTTGATAATGTCACTGGCAAACAATATATTAATTCATCGTCAACTGACCCGAAGAAAATAGAGCGATAATAGTAGAGCCAGCATATACAATTCAGCTGTTACCTTTTTGCATTGCCTAGGCAATCAAAATATCGGAGAAATATTTAAAAGGAACAGAGGCTAAGAATCTACAAAACTCCAAACAGATACAAAATCAGCAGTAATCGATCTTAATTAGATTAACCATGATATATCTTTATAACAGACTAATTAATACATACAAATATTCGAACTTATTTTCGTCTTGCATATCCACATGCATAGGCCACTAGCTCTACCACTAGACCAGCCATCCCACACAAGCAAGCAGACGGCAAATATTGACATTAAAATCCAAATATGTCGCGAAGAAAGTCAACAATTTTTACACATCATGATTTAAAAAAACAAACACACATCAACTGATTTTTAGCTTGTGATTTCTTCAGATAAAAAATAAAAAACTTTCTGATGATAGCCAAAGATGAGAAACAATTTTCTATGTAATTTTTCATAATTTGTTATCATATAGACATACAACTTTTCATAACTGAGCTACTCATCCGTTCCTTGCTCTATCTCCGTGTATTTAGCAAGAAGACTAGGTTAACTTGACTGTCAAATTAACAACAGTCTCCGTGTATTTAGCAAGAAGACTAGGTTAACTTGACTGTCAAATTAACAACAGTCTCCGTGTATTTAGCAAGAAGACTAGGTTAACTTGACTGTCAAATTAATAACAGTCTCCGTGTATTTAGCAAGAAGACTAGGTTAACTTGACTGTCAAATTAACAACAGTCGGTGATTCGGTGAGGCCTAAACAAGGGCTTAGACCGACGCAAAAAGGGGACGTAATTTAAGGCGCGGAGATATCGCCCCTTTACATCTCTCGTCAGATCAGAAGACGATCGATTGGCTTTCATATTTGCCGAACATCGAATAGGAGTTCCAGAAAAGAAAAGATAAAAATAAAACTGCGAGATTTAAAGAACTGATTACTTTGATTCTGGGGGAGAAGAAAAACTTCGCCTTCTAGACTTTCTGTATGTCTGCCCCCCCCCCCCCCTTCCCCAACTCCTCCTTCCCCCCCCCCCCCTCCCCCCACTTAACTTGTGTTCCACTCCTGACACCAGATGAGCGGTGAGCAGGAGAACTGTGAAACACAGCCCACAACTTTCATTAAGGCCACGGGTGGGAGTCGAGCGTCTGAAGACTAGAGTCATCGATTCCTGATATTGAGCTCTGACGCCATCTGACTCCTATTAAAATACCCTCTTGAGTTTACGTTTCCGACACCTAACTTTAATTATTATCCTAAATCCACTTGATTAAAAAAAAATCTCGTTAATCTATCATGTGCATTTATCTTAAAATTACTGTCTTGTTTATAAACAATATTGTCATAGTTCTTTGTTGTTTCAGTGTAATAAACATACTGACACTGACCACTACAACACCTCGGCTCATGGAATTATGACTCCGATTACACTCCATCAATTTTGCGGCTTTCTACTACACTTCTACAACACCACGACTCTTAACTCCGATTGACTCGACTTAATCCTATGAGCTCACTGTGGAGGATAGCGCCTCAACCATAACCTTCCATTTCGTCCGGTCCCCGACTATTAATTTTGCAACCTCCCAAGACATCCCTGTTGGCTTCAGTTCTTTGAGAAGACTCCGCCTCCAGGTCTGTCTTGAGCGCCATTTCTTTCACTTTCCCTGGGGGTTCCACTGGCGTGTCACATTAGAGTGAGCCTTTCGCAGTGTGTGTCCCACCCAGCGCCACTTCCTCCTTCTTAATTGCACTGTCAATAACTCCGATTACATTCCATCAATTTTGTAGTATCAATTTCTACTAAATGCGTTAAGAAAATAGAGGACGTGGTCGGATGGTAGTGCACATGCCTGTTTATAGTTCAGATCCCTAACTCGAGCCTGTATAACGTCCCTGAGTCCTCCCAGCTTTGATGGGATTTGAAGTTAGAAGAAGTAAAGGTAGCTGGGCACAGAACTGACCGCACTAAGCCTTCAAATGCCGAGGTCACGCAAACAGATTAACCATATTTCATCAGCAAAGTGATAGGTCTGAAATAGTATATCTAGTTTTATGCACAAGTTTTAGGTTAAGAGACGTTTTAGATCATACATTTATGACATATGGGTTAACCTTATTCAAGCAATACAAGGACTGAAAATTGGATATCGATATCACAACCCTAACCCAACATCACCCTTAAAACCTGGTTAGGAACACACTGGGATTTGAATAATTATGATGATTTTACACTGTGAAACATGACACTTCAAAATGAAGATAAATTACAGTTTATTTTGTGTGTTTGGTGGGGGGTGGGGGGGGGTGGAAATCAATGTCCAACCGCCTTACCATTCCCATTTTGAGTCAGGTACCCACTAGAACTAAGACGACACAAAACAGCTTTGTCAAGTATTGATCTCTTAATTTTAAATTTTTTTTATAGACCTGGTGTCAAGATATAGTGGAGGTCTTCACACAGTATGCTGATTTTTTCCTTCTCTCTAACGGGAATTCCCTAACCCGCTCATGTCGAACCGGGTATCCCCGGAGCCGGGGGCCGCTACTGATGTCATTGACAACAAGGGGGACGACTCCTTTGGTAGCCAAGGGGAACTAGCCGACTACTACATCGACGAGAAAGCCCGTAACCCAACCGCGGACGAGAACTATCTGCAGGTCGTACGGGCGGGGGACAGGCGGACACCTGACGGGAAGCCAGACGTGGAAATAGCGCAGGCAGCAGCTGCGCAGTCGAGCGTACACCAGAGGCGGCCCGCGGGCGAGGGAGGGAAGGCACCGGTCAGATCTAGCGACCCCAGCTCGGGAGGCGGACGTCAAGACAAAATGTCGAATTCCAGACCCGCTTCTGCCGTTAGGAAGGGGAAGGATGAGGAGGATGTAATTATTGGGGGTGAGTAGTGATTGATTTTATTATGATTGGGGGCGAGTAGTGATTGATTTTATGATTGGGGGCGAGTAGTGATTGATTTTATAATGATTGGTGTGTGTGTGGGGGGGTGTGTAGTGATTGATTGTATAGCTATTGGGGGTGAGAAGTGATTTTTTAAAATAATTGTTGGGGGTGAATAGTGATTGGGGAGGGGGTATGAATAGTGATTTGATTTTATAATGATTGGGGTGAGTAGTGATTGATTTTTATAACTATTTGGTAGGGATGTGAATTATTTATTTTATAATTAATTGAAGAGAGGTTGGGATTGTCGCTAATTCTAAACTTACTGTGAGTGGGTTAGGGATTATTTTATTAGGTCCTGTTATTGAGTTGTTAATTACATTTATAAACATCAGGTTTGTGTGCTCATGGCTCATTAGCTTAAAACGGCTATTTTATTCATTATCATAATCACTGCGTTGAATAGGTCGTTTTTTTTTATTACACAAGGTTAGTTTGTGATATTTTTAATATCATTGTTTAAGTTGGCCAATAACTTTGTACATTGATATCAGACATGCCTAGCTCTGTTATATTTTTTAAAGAAAGACACACAAACACAAAATTGGCGATTGTATGTAAAAGCTATATTGAAAAACAAGAAATATTTATTTAAAAGAAATATCAACCCTATCAATAGTAACCGCATTAGACTCCCGAGAGGTCTAATTAACTTTTCATAAAATTTTGTTCAACTAATCCGTGTTTTGTTCTGGCGGGAATATTTTTTTTTTGGGAAGGGGGGGGGGGGGGGGCAAACATGAGTTAACTGGACGGTGACGCCAACGTTATGATGTAAATTTTAAATGAAAGGGTGCAGCTGCATAGATGACTGACTTAAACGTTAAAAAAACAACTACAAATTAAAAGTAAATTTTAAAAATTATATTGAATTATAAATTCAACTTTTCAGCCCCTAGTCGAGTATAAAAACAACTTTCTAAAATTCTGAAAGTAAACTAAGGGCAACAACTGTGTTAAATTTTCATCTTGTAAAGTAAACAAAGAGTTAATTTGGTATTATTTTAATCAAAATATGTTTTTTTCATCTACGAAAATACGATGTTTAACTTTGTGCCCTCTACTTAAAATGTCTACGTTCTTATAAGATTTAATCAGGCCAATCTGTTTATGCTAACACACCCAGCACATATAGCCTAAGAATGTAGACCCTAGTTTTACGGTTGACTGTACTTTGTGACTGTGAATCCATGCGTGACTGGGACGGTAACTTCAAATTAATTTGTATTGATCCCCCTATCGATTGCTAATGACAGTATTTTTTTAGAAGTAGCACTTACGACTAAGTTATGACAACCGCAATAGTAATGATGTTGTGTTTGCGCCAAAGTCTGTGATTAGGGAACATAACAACTTAAGTCCATCATTGTGATAAGACAACCTAAAATCTTAAACTTTGAGATTAGGCAATCTAACTGCAAGTCAAATATTTTGATTAGGCAATCTAATTGCAAGTCAAATATTTTGATTAGGCAATCTAATTGCAAGTCAAATATTTTGATTATGCAATCTAACTGCAAGTCAAGTATTTTGATTAGGCAATCTAACTGCAAGTCAAATATTTTGATTAGGCAATCTAACTGCAAGTCAAATATTTTGATTTGGCAGTCCAACAACTTAAGACAAACACTACGATCAGGCGATCTAACAACTTAAGTGAAATATTGTGATTAGGAAACCAAACAGTTTAAGTGAAATATTGAGATTAGGCAACCAAACAGCTTAAGTCTGGCTTGGTCGAGGATTAGAATAAAACCACGACCACGGATAGGGTTTAGTTAGAGATTCTGGCTAAAATTTCAGCTTTGATACCCCCTTCTTATAAACACATTAAACATTAACATTTAATTAACATCCTGTACAGATTGACTCAAATTATAAAAACAGCGATTTCATTTTTATTTTTTAATCAAACGTTAGTAAGGCAGTTACTTTTACTATTTTAGTTTACTTTTACGATTTTAGGTTTAAATTATATCCCCTGTTTACTTTTTACGATTTAAGTTTAAATTAAATCCCCTGTTTACTTTTTACGCGGCTGGGCATAGTGCTGACCACACTATCTCTTCATATGCCGAGGTCACAGAAACAAGTGAACTCTACTTCACTTGCCCCATAGACCGTCAAGTTTGAAAGGGAAACTTTTTACGAATTTAGTTTTAGATTAACTCTCCTGTTTGCTTTTTACGATTTTAGTTTTAGATTAACTCCCCTGTCCAGCGCTGCGGTCAGGTAATTAAAGAATAATAAAGAGCCAGCAGGCTATCGACTTCCGCTCTTGGAAACACAAGATGGCGTCTGGCTCTCGAGCAGGGGAAATTAAAATTTGATTCTTTCTAGTCTAAGATCCATCGTCTCGTGTGGGGGAAACAAAACAAAAAAATATAGGGGGTGAAAAAATCGAATTTTTAAAAACTTTTTTTAATTTAATTGTTCACCCTTTTTTTATAATGTGTAAAAAGTAGGTAGACATATAATTAAAATAAAACCCATTAAATAAAAAAAAAACCTGCAACATAGATCAAATCTACAACCTTCTAGATTCGTTTTTTGCCTCAACAGCACCCACATAATATAAAGTAACAGAAATTTTTATTTTCTAGCCTAGATAGTAGGCGAGGGACGGCGTGGTCGAAAGTCTTGGGTTCGGATCCCGGTCCGGACTTGAGACTGTAGGACATCCCTGAGTTCACTCAGCGCTAATGGGTACCTGACTTACGTTGGGGAAAGTAAAGGCGGTTGGGCATAGTGCTGACCACACCATCCCTCCGTATGGCGTATGAACTCTTCTTCATCTGCCCAGTGGATTGTTTTGTCTAAAAAAGAATCTTCACTTTTTTTACAAGCTTTTATTTAACTCACTTCCTCTGTCTGTCTAGACGGAAACGCAGGAGTGAAAATTCGGACAGTTCGACTTGACCGATACGATTCACAGTTGGCACGTGGGTCAAGACATGAAGACAATGCAATCTGAAACTAAATTTGACTTAATTGGATGCCTAATTAATTTTTTATGAATTAATTAAAATTTGGACCGAATTAGTAGGCATGTCTAGCCAACCACACCACAAGCGTCATCACCTTCAATAGCTGCGCCATCACGTAATGGCTGCGTTCAAAAACCATTGCGCGCCTACTGAACGTGATGTTCAGTAGGCGCGCAATGGTTTTTAGTCATGTAACTCTATTGTAAATAAAACATGTAAAGTACTGAAAAAAAAATTCATAAAAAACGTTTTAATAACAAGCTTTTATGTAATGATGCACTAAAAAGTAGAAAATAAATTATAGACTACTATTTAAATAACTATAAAGAAAAGCGTGGGTGTCTTCCTTAACATTAGTAAAGGTATCCAATAGATACTAAAGTGACCCACGCTTTTCTTTATAGTTATTTAAATAGTAGTCTATAATTTATTTTCTACGTTTTAGTGCATCATTACATAAAAGCTTGTTATTAAAACGTTTTTTATGAATTTTTTTTACAATAGTTAGCAGACACATTTTCCTGCCCCATCATGGTAATATCACCACGTCATCAAGCTGGGTCCCATAAAAGCAATTTTTATTATCAGGTAGTAAACAAATGTTAGCCATGTCCTCACTACCCAGGAAATACTCAGTAATACTCAGGAACACGATTGAACAAAACATTTAGTGATTATAATCTGGGACTTGCAGGGCTACATAATCTAATACTTCACATTTTATAAATAACTATAAACTTTGTCTTTCTCTTGTATAACTGTAGGAGCCTACACGTATTCTGCTCAGATATTATGTAGCCCTATTCCTCAACCCTCTTGACATCTACTGTTTTCGTCCATAATGGCGCCTACTACTATTTTAATGTAGATACATGTTTTGGCTGTGATAAGATTCTTTTTCACTAGTGTGTGGAATATCTATATTTATTGTTTTCATATTGTAAAGATGATCAAATATTAATTATGGGAGGCGTGGTAGGTCGGTAGAGCACACGAGCTCACGAATTCCGATCCCGGGTTCGAATCCGTAAGGTGTTAACTTATCTCTGACTCACGTTAAGGAAAGTTTAGGCGACTGGACATAGTGTTGACCACACTTGCTCTTCATATGCCGAGATCATAGAAATAGGTGGAGTCGATTTCATATGCCTCCGAAGAAGTATCTTTTGCTAAACATTAAGAGGTTGCTTAAATGTAACAAATTTTAAAGAAATAGAAATGCTGATTTTCGATTAGAGTATTTTTTAACTGTAGGTGTCATTCTGTAGCGAGGGTGTAAGGTTCAGATAAGTTGTTTTTTTCGTTATGTGGAGGGAAGGTAGATATCACTTAAATTTACGCAATGCCATTAAAGTGCAGAATAAGAACTGATTAGTGGATAAATTGCAGGTCTAGTATGGAGAATCTACTACATTCATTTATGTGAACAAAATTTTCCAATCATATCTGTTTACTGTCCACTGGTAAACAAATACGTAAGAAGTCAAACTTCTTCGACGGCTTTTTTTTTAAATGTTAATAAAACAATTTTCTATGTGTGTTTGAAAACCTTCGCTAAAGATCAAATAGAAAAACCAATCCAGAATTTTAAAAAAAAATTAAAACATCCCTGAAATAAAATCGAGGTTTCGAGGAAATAGCGAAACCTAACAAGTTTCGCTCAGTTCGCGGCACGCGCCATCAATCGATTTTTCACGTGGGGATGAGCGTATTATTATGTAGAGGTCAGGGGTCACCGAAACCAACAACTCTGATTGGCTCGCTGAATGAGTGGCGGTCCGCGCGCGCTCGTGTGCCGCACTGGAAAAAAACAACCCCCGTTCTCATCAGCTTCTCAGTGACCTAGTTCAGGATCCTCATCTTGCTGTATCGCTCACTTGATCAACCGCTGCATGCTCATTGGGATTTTGTTATTGTTTTTTTTTCACTCACCGTTGGACATGAGTTCCG